TGGAAGTTATAGTACTGTAATTTGTTACTGCACACTATTTAAAGCTATTTCTGTTAGCATTCATTAATACTCATTGCTGTATGTTGGTATTGTCTGCGTTTGATACACAGTTGAGGTAGTAGATGTTGTTAACTGTGCTTCAGGCCCCTGTGAAAATAATGGAACATGCTATGATTTGACCACCGAATCTGAGAGGGATATGTTCTCAGGCCGGTCGTATATTTGTGTGTGTGAACCTCAGTTTTCTGGTCAACATTGTGAAAATATCTCATCCACAGGTAGGCACCTGCAATAGGATAATCTAAAAAAATATTTAGTCTTTTGAATTTTTTTGTTGTTGCATGAGATTTATTTTGTTTTGAAAAGATAAGGTAGACTTTTTCAACTCATTAAAAACCTATTGGCGTTTGTAATATCTTGTAGAAACAATTTGAAGTCCTTTCTCTTCTATCAGGCCCATCAGCAAAAAGAAAAAAATAAACAGTTATAAATATTAAGAAAATGTGAAAGTCTTAGTTGGATGATTAAAATAATTGATTTATTGTTGTGTGTGTAACTCTCAGGTGGGGAACATGTAGATGTTGTAAACTGTGCATCTAACCCCTGTCAAAATAATGCAACCTGCTTCGACTTAACAGAGGCTGAGACAGAACTCTTCTCAGGCAGGTTGTATGTCTGTGGTTGCAAACCACCATTTAGTGGCCAACACTGTGAGAATACAGGTAGATGTGAGATTTTAGTATCTTTTATACAGTAGTAACACTCATAACATAGTATTATTTTTGAACCTTTTTTGCATGGAAATTTCTGTTTTAACAACATAGGTCTGTGTTCATTTTGTCTGTATTAAAAATATGTAATGGAAGTTATAGTACTGTAATTTGTTACTGCACACTATTTAAAGCTATTTCTGTTAGCATTCATTTAATACTCATTGCTGTATGTTGGTATTGTCTGCGTTTGATACACAGTTGAGGTAGTAGATGTTGTTAACTGTGCTTCGGGCCCCTGTGAAAATAATGGAACATGCTATGATTTGACCACCGAATCTGAGAGGGATATGTTCTCAGGCCGGTCGTATATTTGTGTGTGTGAACCTCAGTTTTCTGGTCAACATTGTGAAAATATCTCATCCACAGGTAGGCACCTACAATAGGATATAAAAAAATATTTAGTCTTTTGAATTTTTTTGTTGTTGCATGAGATTTATTTTGTTTTGAAAAGATAAGGTAGACTTTTTCAACTCATTAAAAACCTATTGGCGTTTGTAATATCTTGTAGAAACAATTTTAAGTCCTTTCTCTTCTATCAGGCCCATTAGCAAAAAGAAAAAAAATAAACAGTATCAATATTAAGACAATTTGAAAGTCTTAGTTGGATGATTAAAATAATTGATTTATTGTTGTGTGTGTAACATTCAGGTGGGGAACATGTAGATGTTGTAAACTGTGCATCTAACCCCTGTCAAAATAATGCAACCTGCTTCGACTTAACGGAGGCTGAGACAGAACTCTTCTCAGGCAGGTTGTATATCTGTGGTTGCAAACCATCATTTAGTGGCCAACACTGTGAGAATACAGGTAGATGTGAGATTTTAGTATCTTTTGTGGTATCACTCATTACAATAGTATTATTTTTCAAACTTTTCTGCATGGAAATTTTTGTTTTAACAACACAGGTCTACAGTATGTTAATTGTGCCTGTATTTAAAACCTGATGGATGTATATAATTTTTCTGTGCACTATTTTAAAGCTGTAGTCTGTATGGCATTCATTAATGCTTATGGTTGTAGTATGTTGATATTGTCTGCATTTGATACACAGTTGAGGTAGTAGATGTTGTTAACTGCACTTCTGGCCCCTGTGAAAATAATGGAACATGCTATGATTTGACCACGGAATCTGAGAGGGATATGTTCTCAGGCCGGTCATATATTTGTGTGTGTGAACCTCAGTTTTCTGGTCAACATTGTGAAAATATCTCATCCACAGGTAGGCACCTACAATAGGATAATCTAAAAAATATTTAGTCGTTTGAATTTTTTTGTTGTTGCATGAGATTTACTTTGTTTTGAAAAGATAAGGTAGAATTTTCAACTCATTAAAAACCTTTTGGCCTTTGTAATGTCTTGTAGAAACTAATTTAAGTCCTTTCTGTTCTTTATCAGGCCATTCAGCAAAAAGAAAACAATAAACAGTATCAATATTAAGACAATGTGAAAGTCTTAGTTGGATGATTAAAATAATTGATTTATTGTTGTGTGTGTAACATTCAGGTGGGGAACATGTAGATGTTGTAAACTGTGCATCTAACCCCTGTCAAAATAATGCAACCTGCTTCGACTTAACAGAGGCTGAGACAGAACTCTTCTCAGGCAGGTTGTATGTCTGTGGTTGCAAACCATCATTTAGTGGCCAACACTGTGAAAATACAGGTAGATGTGAGACTTTAGTATCTTTTGTGGTGTCACTCATTACATAGTATTATTTTTCTTTTCTGCATGGAAATTTCTGTTTTAACAACACAGGTCTGTGTTTACTGTGCCTGTATTTAAAATCTGATGGATATATATCATTTTTCTGAGCACTATTTTAAAGCTATTTCTGTATGGCATTCATTAATGCTCATGGTTGTAGTACTGTATGTTGATATTGTCTGCATTTGATACACAGTTGAGATAGTAGATGTGGTTAACTGTGCTTCTGATCCCTGTGAAAATAATGGAACGTGCTATGATTTGACGGAATCTGAGAGGGATATGTTCTCAGGCCGGTCATATATTTGTGTGTGTGAACCTCAGTTTTCTGGTCAACATTGTGAAAATATCTCATCCACAGGTAGGCACCTACAATAGGATAGTCTGAAAAATATTTAGTCTTGAAATTGTTTTTTTTACACTGCCAATGAGGTTTGTGTTATTTTGAAAAGAAGGTAGACTGTTTCAACTCAAACCTATAGAATACCATAGTCGTGTCGTCACAACGCCAGGTGGCGCCCTCTGCTCCCAACCAGATGTTGGTTACCGTTTATTATGCCTGAATGACTAAGCTTTTTTGGAATAGGCATTTTAAAATCTAATATTTTACTATCAAAATATACTAAAAAAACACAAAAGCTCGCATTATATTAGTTATCAAACACGCATTTAATCATCAATTAAAATTTACAAAAAAAATCTAAGATACATACTACATCTTAATAATTACGTTAGAAATTGGGATCAGTGGTTTGTGAGTAGAGAAAATGGCATCCGGTTGAACTCATTTTGCAACGATAGCAACAGTGTAGTATCACATGGTATCGTGACGTAACACTGTAGTACTCTATTGGCCTTTGTAGTGTCTTGTACAAACTATTTCAAGTACTTTCTGTTTTTTTATCAAGTCATCTCAGCAAGAAAAAAAGCAATTATGTCAATACAGAATAATCTGCATGTTGAAATAATTGATTTATTGTTCTGGGTCTAACAATTGACAGGGAACATGTAGGTGGAACACAGGTCTGTGTTCATTATGTCTGTATTTCAAACCTGATGGGTGTACATTGTTAATGTGCACAATTTTAAAGGTATTTCAGTATGGCATTCATTAATGCACATGGTTGTAGTATGTTGATATTTTCTGTGTTTAAAACACAGTTGAGGTAGTAGATGTGGTTAACTGTGCTTCTGATCCCTGTGAAAATAATGGAACATGCTATGATTTGACCACGGAATCTGAGAGGGATATGTTCTCAGGCCGGACGTATATTTGTGTGTGTGAACCTCAGTTTTCTGGTCAACATTGTGAAAATATCTCATCCACAGGTAGGCACCTAAATAGGATAATCTAAAAAATATTTAGCCTTTTAAATTTTTTTTCTGTTGCATGCGATTTCTATTGTTTTTAAAGGAGATTTGAGAGGGATATGTTCTCAGGCCGGTCATATATATTTGTGCGTGTGTACTCCACTTTTAGCTAAAATGTGGATTGCACACCTTTTCTAAGGGTTTAAAATAATAATGTCCTAAAAGTATAAATCTGTATTTTACACTGAACACTGAATTGTAGATACCACCACCATTCGTTAGTGGAGCTGCAGATGGTGTTAGTCTTATAGACCTACAGTTCCGGGTTCAAATCCTGCATCAATCATAATGGGTTTTTTTTCTGCAACTATAAACAATTTCACTTCCAATGCTTTGCATCAGAGTTCAGTGCTCTGATTTTAATCCTTTTAAATTTTAAGGTTTGTTGATTTGACGAGAATATAATTTATTTTCACCTCATTTCACATTTCACCTCATACTGTACTTTAAGACTATCTAATGCTTTTATATTTACAATACTATTCATATTTGGATGCTGATTATCTGTGCATAATAGTTCCTACTGTATATATTCTGCATATTCAGAAATCAATTTATTGTTTGACACTTTGTATGTTTTCAGTATTTTGGCATTATGATAGGTTTTGTGAGTAATGCAGGTTGCATTTTTCCCATTGGAACCTTGATTGTTTTAATTACATTCACTTTGAGGTTGCACTTCTTGTTTTTTGTTTTTTTTAAATTCTGCATTTCATCTTCCCAATTTACCCATATGACGGTGTCCGCATGATTCATTTTGGAAAGCTTGGTTGGCAGTAACCTGTATCATATATATTTCTTACCATGTACAATAAAAAAAAATGATTTGATGACATTTGATTCCCAGATGTGGAAAACATTGAAGATACTAAAAATTGTTCATATAACCCCTGTCAAAATAATGGAACATGCCATGATTTAGTAACTGAGGAAGAGAGATACCCCTATCCAGGTCGTTCTTATGTTTGTGAATGCGTAGCAAGTTATATTGGGCAACATTGTGAGAATAAGACAGGTATTGTAGTAACTACTAAATCATTCATCCCAATCAATATATTGGCAAGTCATGATATTGTTAAGGAGAAGAGAAGATGAATGTCCATCTCAGTTTTTTTTTAATGTTTTTGTGTACATCAAGTTAAATTGAGCAGAATGTTGAGATTCATAGACAGTTAAGAACTGCACTGACACTATATAATCAATTTATACATTATTATTATTATTATTATTATTATCATTATTATTACTACTACTATAACTTTTTTTTTAAATTAATTATTTAATTTATAATGATCACCCAGTGTAACATAAATAAGTGTGATAAAGATGGATAACATTGAAACTCATTTTTATTTACCTTCGTTATTTTTTAAGTGTTATATCTTCATAATAATTCCTTGTTAGATGAAACCTTAGTGGTATATAGTATTGGTTTCTCGATCTTCAGGTTCTGAGTCTAGGATTTATAAATATCTTTCATATCTTTATATAATACCTTGCCCTTTAATATTAAATCTTATATATCTTCAAAATATTATTATGAGTTGTTTTAATTCATGTTGTGTGTTAATTAACAATACAATTAATGTGTATCAGAAATAATAAGTCAAGATGTGAATTTTGGAATCCAATCGAGTATTTCATTACAATTGTTTGCAGAATTTGATACTGATGTACAATTAATTTCAAGACATGATTTTCCCATTTGTGGAATTTCATACCATACTGTATATCTCTCATATTTTTAACTAATTTCTGTGTTTTCCTCCATAATTTCTTCCAGAATTTTCCACATGTGATGAGGGGCCATGCCAAAATGGTGGCGTTTGTGAGCCAACTAGCAGCGGTTATATTTGCTTTTGTACGGCAGGTTACACTGGCTCACATTGTGAGGTTGAGCCAGGTAAAAAGAACCATTTTCAATACGCTTGCATTCAGTGGATGTATAAAAGCTGATTCATTTAATCATAGAGTACTGATTTGGCTCTTTTTAATTTTTTGCTATTTAAAATTAATTAACTTTCTTGGATTTGTTATTCTTTTTTTAAAACTCACAAATACATATTCAAATCAGTAGCCAAAACCTGAAGTTAGTTTTATAAAAGATAAGGTATCAAATATAACAAAACAAAAACTATTGAGCAATATAAGTAAAACTACCATTGGTAATCAATAATGAATAGATTCACATTTACTTTCATAATATTTGGGAAGTATATTTTGAAAAACAATTGTACAGTCCATCACCTCAGTTTTAATATTTAAAAAAATGCTTCCCCTTCCTATGTTACAATTGTTAGATGCACCGTGGAGACCCAACGCATGTAATTTTAGAAGTGCTTCTGTTCCCTTCGTCAGACTCAATTTTTGGTTTTTGTTGCTGGTCCTAATTTATGGCATAGCATCAGTGTTTCATTTAAAAATTCAGTTTGTATACCTGTCTTTAAAAGTAAAATTTAAAAAGAATATTTATCATTGTACCATCAGTAATTAATTATGGTACCTCTTAAGATTTTTCATTTCACCTATTTCTTTCTCTTTTCGTGGGGTCGTGATGAGACACGTTCTACAGTACTTCTAATCATGATCCAAATGATGGTATAATTTTATTTTACTTACCTTTCCCTTTTTCTTTTCTGTATTGTATACCATTATTTTATTGTTTACCATCATTGAATAAATTAAATTTTGAATAAATTTGACCATCATAACTTCCTTCCCACAATGCAACAGATCATACACAAGATCCCTGCTTGTCAGACCCTTGTCAAAATGGTGGCCATTGTGATAGCCAGTACTACTACTTCCGGTGCGTATGTCCCGACGCGTACTACGGAAAAACTTGTGAAAAACCAGGTAGAGTAATGAGCGGTGCATGCCTTCATATGGAAAGGATTGGTTCATCTACTGCACTCGTTTACAAACATTAATGACAACAACTTTCAAACAGGGCAGAATCGTTTGAAATTTGGCAATGACATGAAACCACTGTTACTCTATTTACATTGTTGATGAAGGGCGTCTCAGAAATTTCAAATCATGTCATCAGTATTCTGTATTTGCTTGTTGTATGAGCTGTATAGGTCTTTTCTCCACCATGTTTACTGTAGGTACCATAGATAAATAACATGTTTTGCAAGGTCTACAAACCATTGGTTTTGTTTGAACACTAAACCACACTGACATAACTGTTATATACAGTATGTTTACAAAGCTGAATTCCATTATCCTTTTAGCATACTCTTGCATGTGGGTTTTATGAACAACATGTTTTATTACAAGGTGTTTAGAGAGGTGTTAAATCCGCAACCTTGGGATTTGTGAATGGGCACTCAACCACACCGCCACAATTGTTGTAAATCCTGAATTCCTAGTTTCTATACACTTGCATGTAGTTTCATAAGGCACACTGGACCTGCATTATCTTCCTAATAGTCTTCCCTTTTATTTTAAAATGCATGAATGAATATTGCAGTCAAGCATTATATACACTCATGCGGTCTTCAAACTCATCTTATGTACATTTTAATAATTCTACAAATAAGTGAAGCATTTTGATGCACTATCATAACATGGTTGTATTTGAATCAAAATGATCCAATACTACTGTATTATGTTTATCCGGGCTGACGATTTATGTCAACAGGTATGATTGGAGCATGAGTTTTCCCACTGTCGGTTTTAATACAGACGTTGCATATTCTTTTACTCTGTGTTGTTACTCTGGGTATACGGTACTATAATTATACATGCACCATTCACTATGAACGATTGTCAGTGCTGTGACTTGAATTGGTTATGTATATGATTTTAAAAAGTTGCAAAACAATTAACAATTAATTTTATAACCGGTTATTGTACTTTTAAATGCCTCTACTGTAGGCTTTCTTTATATTTGATTTGAGCTTCTATGATGGTAAAAGAAAAAAATTTCCCTATTTTATTAAAACAATTTTTGGTACACAATACGATAGGAAAATAATTAATTGTAAACAAATTCTCAACCGGATACTGTACTATTTAAAGTCCTGTACTGTAGGATTTCTTTGGATGTGATTTAAGCCTTTATTAGGCTAAAAAAGTCCCCATTTGTGGCTGATCTTCTTGTTTTATTTGAAAGATTTTATCATTATTCACGCTATGAGGTTTTTTACTTGTATGGTTCTTTCTATAGAATTCAATGGTGTAGTTATTGTATGGGTTGTTGAGTCAGCATCATTTGAGCATTTTTTTTTTATTTTGATCTAACAGATTTTTAATGGTATGCCATTATTGGTATGCCATTATTGGCACTTTATTGCACTATGCGTGTAGCAACATGGTAACAAGTATTTGTGCGACTTCCTGTTTTTTTTTGTTTTTTTTTGCTTCGATGAGGAGCTCTAGAAACACTCGGCCGATTGATAAATCTTTATTAGATCCCTGCCTCTATTATACTGCCCTCATGAGGCTGATTGATTAATAGTTTATTGATTAATAGATCTTTTTAGCTCTTACTGCCTCTGTTATACTGCCCTCATGATGAGCTCTAGAAACACTCGGCTAATTGATTAATAGATCTTTTTTTGTAGCTCTACTGCCTCTATTATAATGCCCTTATCAGAGCTTTCAAGATTACGAAAACTTGTGTTGTCAACCAAACCATGATGTTTCTTTCACTACAGATTTAAGGTTGCATGTTAAGATGTCAAGATGTCATATGCCTATATTGGGTGTACCTAACCTGACAGTGACATCATACTGTAATTCCCTTATATGGGCACATCACAATGTTGTAATTGTCTTTCCTTTTTTGAAATTCTATACTGTATATTTATTCCATAAACGTGATACTACTAATTTCTTCAGTTGCTACCTGCGAATCAATGCCATGCGAAAATGGTGGAACATGTTTTGACACTCCTAACAGTAATCACAGTTACGTGTGTGTCTGTGATCCATTGTATCTCGGCACCCATTGTGAAAATGAAGGTATCTATTTTCTGTGAGGTATTTATGGCACGAACCCGAGTATATAGGGCAATAGCACTGGCATGATCATAATAATAATTGTAATTATTTGATAATAATTTTTTGGTACATTTGCATTTGTTTTGGTTTTTTTTTTTTTTTTTTATTTTTTATATTTTTTTCTTCTCTTTTGTTGTTAAGTGCCTTGAGGTTGTGTCAACGTGAGGCGCTATATAAATCCAGAATTATTATTATTATACCACCTAGGCATTAGTGTCTATTTTTACTTGGCCTTTTTAGCCTGCTTGATTGGTTGGTTGGTTGGTTGGTTGGTCGATTGATTGATTGAAAATGACTGATTAGTCTGTATCCATACTGATTGACATTTATCAGTTTAATAAATTATTTGATCAGACATTAACTGATTATCAGTTGATTTATTGGAAGTTAATGTGTGATCAGTTTTGGTCATCAGCTGTGTAATAATTAATCAGTTTATTGATTATTAGCTGATTTATTATCAGTATATTTATGATCAGTTAATTGATAATTTGATAATATATTAGCAGTAGGTGCATCATCAGTTGATTGATTATCAATATCAATTGACTATTATTTGGTCAGTACTTAATTGATTATCAGCTGATCAGTAATAAATTGATTATCTGTTTATTGATTCAGTTCAATTTCAATTGATTGATTATCAGTTAATTCATATATATCAATTATCAGTTGATACAATTATGAGATGATTACTAATTGATTGATTATTAGTGGATTTATTTTCAGTTTATTGATCAATAGATCTAATCAATCAGTAGATTAATGCTCATCTGATTGAATATTATCAGTTGATTTTCTGTGTGGCAAAGACAAGTCAAACCAGTCACTCGATGCAAATCGTGTTTCAAGACATTGGCCAAAACATGCTGAAATGTCTGAATTTTCGAAATCTATTTTATCGCGTGCACTAACTTAACCTTTATATATCTCTACATCATGATATGCTGTTATTTTTGCCATTTTCAACGTTAAAACTACAATTTTGAACAATTTGTTGATGGTTTCTGCCTGAGAAATGCCTGAAATCATAAACTTTGAAAGCTGATTTCTCAAATATTCTGCAACAGCTGTATGTTTAAATGCTTGTAACTTCATAAGGAAATGTCGGATTTAAATGATTCTTTACCATTTTATAGCTCTCATTTTCATTTTTAAAACTGTATTAATAATTAAAAATTGACTTTCGCGACAAGTGACTCGTTTGGCTTGTCTTTGCCACATATATTATCAATTGATTAATAATTTATATCAATGAATAATACTATTGGTTGAGCTGAACAGAATGCAGACAGACTGAATGTCACTGTATTTGTAGCAATCACTTAATTTATTTGAATCGATTATTAGGACACAGCTATTTCTTGACTGACTTATATTTGTATGGTGTATTTTTCACCAAAATGTACCTGTACTTTGCCTGCATGACACTTGCAAACAATTGTATACAAATGAAAGAATGCAGGTTCACTCGTACACAATGAAAGTTGGTTAGGATTGTTACACAATAAATGTAAGCTTTAAAGTTGGAATGTTATCCTTCTGCTGTATTTCTTACGATCAAAAGAAAAACGAAACAAAAATGTGATTGAATACTTTAAAACTTGGAATATCTTTACTGAAAAGATGTTTATAAACTCTGAGAATATGTTCCAAACATTTTTTTATCTGATTGGGTTTTTTTTTTTATATTTCCTTGAGTGGTACTTGTAAAATATGTGTTGGATAATGATTTAAAAATTATAGAAAGACTGTGGAATTGCCAAAGGTTCATGGTATGTGCAGGTATTATGAGTGGCTGTACTACAGTACAGGCCTTGAAAAAAATATTGCAAAAATAAATATATTCTTTACAATGGTTTAATAAAAACAAAAGTTATGATAAAAGCAATGATTATGACATGTGAAGTGTATATATGGATCATGTCTGTGTTCTATTGTCTACCACTTTGTTGTCTTCATATTGTACCATATTTAACAATGTCCAGGGTAGAATATACAGGCCCCTTTTTAAAATTATTACGCCGTGCCCGGGGTTTAGTCAGAAAAACAAAATAGGCCGTCCAAAGTGGAAGGCAGTGGGCGTGGCACTCCCATTTTGTGAATCTCCACCGAATATTGGTACAAAAACAAACGTACATTCAATCAATAAATGTTGTTTTTATCAAACGTAAATTAATATTCTTTCTTTCACACAACACATGTGCCAAGGATTGCCAATAGCGAATATATATCGCTGTCCTACTTGTAGGTGACAATCCCTTTCACAAGACAAACATACGATGCTTTACACAAACTAAATCTCCATATGAGATTTAGGGAGTGGAGTTGTTTATGTCGTGAGAAAAAATTCCTGCAACTGGCAGGAATTGAACCCAGGACCTGGGATTGGAAGGCAAGCATCTTAACCACCAAGCTATTTAACTCCACTCCAAAAAGTAAATATTATTTAGCTTTAGTTTATTGTAACATTTGATAGATTTGAAGATTATAAAGAATTTGCTAATGGTAGACTAGGCCCAATTAGGCTAGGCCAAGCTGATTAGGCCAAGCCGTCACGGTTAAAGTGGCCGTCATAAATAATTGTAGGCCGTCCAAAAGACGGCCGGATGTCTCGCTGGCTAAGCCTATACGCCCTGCTCACTATCAAGCCGCATGTTTATTTCTTTCATTCGTGATTTGTGACACTGGAGTTTTTATGTATTTTTAGCTTTGTGATGGAAGGTGTTTTGATCTACAGAAGTTTTTTAATAATGGTTTAATTGATTAATTATTTCATTTGTTATTAACTATTATTTTCTTTTCTCCACTCAATTGCAATTTAAAAGTACATATTTAGAGGTGTTACTATCCTGCACAGCAATACTATATAGTCATGTCGTTTATATAACAGCACTGGAATAACAGTTTGCTTTTTTAAGAGTTCCTTATGCTCAGTATTTTGCAGAACACCCAAGGACACTGTTACTAGTATATAAGAAATGATAATGATTTAAGAAATATGTGGCAAAGACCAGCCAAACCTGTCACCCGTCGCAAAAATTGATTATTAGTTAATAATACTGTGTTAAACAGTAAAATGAGAGCTATGAAATTGTAAAAGAATTATTTAAATGCGACATATCGTTGAAGTTACAGGAGAAACTTACAGCTGTTTAAAGAACAATATTTGAGAAATCAGCCTTCAAAGTTTCTGATTTTGGGCATTTCTTAGGCAGAAACCATCACCAAATTGTTAAAAATGTTTATTTCAACATTGAAAATGGGGAAAATAACATCATATCTTGATGTATAGTTATATAAAGGTTCGTTTAGGGCAATAAAATAGATTTCCAAATTTTTACATTCCAGCATGTTTTGGCCATTATCTCCGAAACAGGATTTGCGACGAGTGACTGGTTTGGCTTGTCTTTGCCACACATAATCAAAGCTGTTCATCATTGCTTAACATGGCTTTCCCATATGTTCTGTTACTGCATTTTGGAAATATAAGCATCCTGACCAACTCATCATGTGATTGGCTGTAAAGATTAGCCACAGTTTGTTGACCCTGTGGTCTCTCCAAAAAAAATTTTTTTCAGAGATATTTCTTTCTTTTTTTAAGTCACAGAAGAAAAAAATAAAACAAAGGGCTGTCATTTTAAGTATGATAATCACACCTGAAGTTTTATTCCCATAAGATTCGCTCATTTAAAGTCATTATTTTGATTTCGTTCTAGCTTCTAACCCATGTGACTCAAATCCTTGTCTTAATGATGGGTATTGTACTGTAGAAGCAACCAGGTTCAGGTGCTACTGTGCACCAGAATTTACTGGACTGCAGTGTGAAGGTACTTGGTCTACCATTTATTCCTGTTGCTACTGGGTTTTTTGTCCTCTTTGGTTTTACCTGTTTGTGATAACTTAGCAGCTACTCTTATTTTAAAGTTTTTTAGAATTTTATTTAATATGTTTCATTTATTACTCTTCATTAATCATACCATTTCATAGAGTTGGTGAAGTACTAACATAGTACTAATAGAAATTTAAAAAACTATATAGTAAGCATTTAAACTAACAGTTCTCTTGTATAATGTATAAATACTTCATTTTGATAATAATAATATGTTAGACTTTTTATATAGCGCCTAACGCCTACAAGGCCTGTTAAAGCGCTTCACATGTCCAGGACATTGTTTGTAAATGTTGTAAAAATCTTTAAAAATTAAATTATCGCATTGAATTGCTCATTTCAAGTATATTATCAATCAGCTTCTGACACAGAACATATTTTTCACTGATTAACACATTTTTGTTTGCCAAGATTATAAATGGTACCTATTATTCATCCATTATCTGGCAAGGCAAATGATTTTTCAATTAAATGCTAATAGCTTACTTAAGTATACAAAATAAGCAACTCAAAATATCAGATTTTTATTTTTCAAGTTTGTGTAGCTTTCAAATACAGACAGTTAATTGTTGAATATCTCCAGTTTCACAATTAGATCAAAATTGCATTGATATATATATCCTGCCTAATATTTTACCCTGCCTGTTATTGTACAGTAATCGCTATTTTCATTCTAATTCACACAATGATCTATAGCCTCACCTGTAATCCAAGCTTCAGCAATTAATATTAATGCTTTCATTTTATACAAGTGACTTTTTATTTACTCATTTCTCCTATTCATTCCAGTAATGAATACTCATGAGGTGAAGTTCCATTTGATCAGATAATATTACCAAATTAAATGAAAATTAATTAAAATATTCATTTATTGTATTGTGATACTGGAATTTGAGTTCAAGGTTTCACAATTTTTTGCAACTTAGCAACTATTTACTGAATTACATTACGTGCTGTAAAATTGGTGTGGAGGTGTGTGTCTATTTTTGGTGGCTTTTTTAAATGTGGTGGCTGCATCTACCAGTGCACTGAGGGCGCCAGTACACTTATTTTTAGTAGAAATCTTTTAGGCTCTTTGTGCAGCAAAGTAGCATGCTGGCAGCGAAGATTCTTTGGAGTAATTTTTTGTTTGATATGTTATATTCATTCATAATTTTTGACAAAGTAATAATAATAATAATAATAATAGTAATAATAATAATAATAATAATAATAATAGTAATAATAATAATAATAACAATAATAATAATAGTTCATTCTTATGCAGCGCATATAAGCAAGCTCTCATTGCACTGTAAAAATACTATACAAAGATATAGGAAAAGAATTACACACTGTGTTCAAGACAGTCAGTGACATGTTAAAATAACTTTAAAGGAATCTTGTAAAAAATATAATACTTTTTAAAACAAATATCGTGATTTAATTAATTTTTCACCTACTGGAAATTGAACAGTGTGGTACAGTAAAAGCCATTTAAGGTCACTGGTAATTAATTATAAAACATACTCCAAATAGAAGCAAAACATTATTCTGTTTTCTGTTTGTATTAACTGTACAGTAATTATTTGCAAACAATGGCAAATCCAGAAATTTGAAATAGAGGGGCTTAGGGAGGGACGTTCACAGGTGGAGGATCAAGACCACTTCAGCCCCACATAGCTGGGTGTAAGGTAAAAAAGAAATTATGATGATGGCACCTCTAGATGGCCAGCAATGATACACTCACACTTAATTTTGATATAAGTATAGGTAAAATATTGAATTTCAATTAGCACTGCTTTAATTGAGGTATATTTCATTATACCAAGTATTCTTTGGTTTTTTTTTTGTTTTTTTTTGGCATTATACATGTATCATTAATATTTTGCTTTGTTTTTATTTGTTGTCCCTTTTGTTTTTATATTACAGTGTATCATTCTAATATAATTTTAATAAATTTGATATATTTGTACAAAACATTTACTAACATAATTTTACTTCCTCGTCACAAAATCCTTTTCTTTTTCCTGGATGCTAATGATACAGTAGCTGAAATCTTGTAAAGCTCTGTTCAGATTATTAAATTTTGTTTGAATAAAAACTGTTGATTACCCATATATGGTAATGATGTGCCTATATATGGTCATAATGTGACATCACCATCATGACCATATTAATTTAGGCATGTCATAGGTTATGTCAAATAAAATATGGTAGTCTTGGATGCTTTATGTTGCAGGTGTCATCATTGTGATTTGTAGGCTTCTACAGCTACAATTATTTACAATAGTGTTATAATAATGATTGATTGATTGTAGACTTTAATTACAAATATGATCTAATTCTTGGTAATTGACTAAATTATTTGAATATTAAATTCAATTAATATGAATCATTGTAGGTTTACAGTTCATTAACATATTAATGTATTCTATTATGCATGTTATTTGCTTGTACTTACAAATGATTCCTCGTTGTGTTTTCCATTTTTTATATTAGATATAATAAATGTTATATATTTATTACAATAACTTTTATCAAACATTATTATTGAAATCAAATTTTCCTTTTGTCCACTTTACCTTAGCAATTTTTTTTATACACTGTACCACTACTATATTGTATTAATTTCCTGAAATTTACTAATACGTGTGTATAAACCAGACCTTTGTATTGTTAACTGTGTTAATTTTTATCTATTCTTTCATTTCTCTATTACAGTACCTACCCCAGCTCAAGACCCATGTCTGTCATCCCCATGCATGAATGGGGGACAATGTGTCAAACCTGCGAACAACGATTACTACATTTGTTCATGTGTTACAGGCTATACTGGCTCACGCTGCGAAACACTTGGTATGTACTGTTGTCGTCAATACTTGCATTAGGGAGACCTTTGTTGTTACTTGTGAATGCGGTTATAAATCAGGAGTGGAGCCAGCCCCCCCCCCTCCACCCTGGTGCTACCCCTATTATAAATTACAATGTGGGACAGTCAATGTCCTGTTTTTTTTATATATTACTGGTATTTGACATCAAATTGAAACACTGGTTATGTGAATGTAATTTATTATAATCTGCTATATTGTTATCATTACAAAGTATTTTTTCAGGCTAAAACCTGAATTGGCCTATCCTCAATGTTAGGGTTGGAGTGTGTTGGAGTGGAGTTACTCACTAATAATCACAAAAATGCTTTGTGAATGAATAGGTATACTACCGGCTAAATAAACACTGCCTTATATCATTATACTCTGTATTGTGAATGTCATTATAAATTACAAACAAAATAAACAAATATTTATACTGCTACTGCACTACTTAATAATTCAAAGTCAGTATAACATTTAAATGTCTGAATTTTAATACCGCGGATGCTTGCTCTGTTGGGCCGTGCCAAAATGGCGGTACTTGTGTACTTGCTTAAGTGGTTTCACTGGGTCCACCTGTTCTACTACCACAGGTGTGTATTATGTATTTTTATTCTAGAACAAGTTCTTGTTATTAAAATCAGCTGAATTCACCGATGTCTTTCATCCCCATACATTTTTGGGAGATGCTTACTACATTTGTTCTTGTGGAACAGGCTCAGTCATGATGGGTGGGGCTGAGGGGGATGTGACCCATCTGTCAGGGTCCTGATACCACCACTGTATGCATGTATTGTAGATACAATGTCAGTCAATATCCTTTTGAAATTAAGTGATTAAAATTCCCTGCTACTGAATTTTTGGTGAAGTATTTACACTTTTTGATGTAAACTTGTTATCCTTAGCATTTTCAGATATTTTAGAATTTTGTTCTTGGTTAGAAGAGTTGCAACTCACCGATTTTATGATTTTTTAAAATTAATATTTAAACTATGCATTTTGTAGTATTACACCAGTTTTATGATTTAGTATTTATTATGAATGATGTAGTTGTTTTAATATATAATGGGATTAAGAAGAAGTTAGGTAGGAAAAGCCAACAATGAACACTGGTGATGTTTAAAGTGCCTTGACAATTCATTAGAATGGACCTATCTGGCTTGTAAATCATATATTAATTGACCATTAATATACACTTGTCTTTCAAAAACACGTTTTACATACATTTATGAAGTATATTTTGAAGTATAAGAACTATCAGTTGCTGCCCTGACGTGAGAAACATAACAAGATGGTACACATGCTAACCTACACAAGCAGCCCTCATATGAGAATGATGTAATTTGCTATTATAATTTTCCTAGCATGCATCCCTTATAACATTATAAGGGATGCATTATAATCCCTTTTAAGTCTCACATGAATTGGTATGTCAGTATGAGGCTTAGACATTGGAGTTAATTTTTCGTCATGAGAAAAAAAAAATCTGTTATGACAGGTTTCGAACCTAGGACACTAAGCAAGGAAGGCCAACATCTTACCACTAAGCTACAGCACCACTGAAAATGAACCCTTTGTAGTCCCAAGTGACTTTCACCAAGGTCACTGAACCCATTAAGCCCCACTGTCATCATCCGCTAAAATAAGGGTAAGTGCATCACTAACGTTGAACGATTGCTTCCGATTTGGCCATTTTGAATGCTTCCGCACGTCCAGTTGCGGCAACAATAGGGAAATCTCCTAAGCTACTCATTAAATAGAGGGCAGTAGCAGTAACAGTCAGTCCCTATATAATTCGGAGCAGGCTTCCTGCGACAGTAAATTGGTCTGTATATTATACGGACCACGACTTCAAAGAATTAAGCATAGGTTTCAAAGTGGAAATTTACTGTTTGGTGTATTTTTTTTTTGTTGTATTATTAAATGAGTTAAAATAAAATACTGTAATGATTTCAGACCCATGTGCAGTGAATGCGTGTAGCAATGGAGGGACATGCCGAGTGGATGGCACTTCCTATAAATGTGACTGCACAGAATTGTATTCTGGTTTTTATTGCCAGACACCGATTAGTAAGTGACATATTGTTTATAAACTAGATATATATAAGGTATTGTGTTATCAATAATTGTAGAGGTGATGGTCAAGGATGATGATAAAGATGTGAAGATTTTGATAAAGATTTTGATAAAGGTTTGATGAATATATTGGCAAAGATGTTAAGTAAGTGATGTCGATGAAGATGATTATAACAAGGATGATATATATAAGGTATTGTGTTATCAATAATTGTAGAGGTGATGGTCAAGGATGATGATAAAGATGTGAAGATTTTGATAAAGATTTTGATAAAGGTTTGATGAATATATTGGCAAAGATGTTAAGTAAGTGATGTCGATGAAGATGATTATAACAAGGATGATGTTAATGAAAATGAGTTGTAATGATGATGCTAATCATTTCTGTTGTGGACAGACAAGAGCAGCTGGTACCGGTTTACCGGTTAGCTCAGACATGAAGAGACACTTAGGGGAGAAGAAAGTTTTTTTTAATATTAGAGGCTCACTAAAAAATGTTTTGCCTATATATGGTCATGATGTGGCATTATGGTCTTTAGCCATGTCACATGCTTGTGTCAAATAAAATATGATAGTTTTGGATGCTTTATGTTACAGGTATCATCATTGTGATTTGTAGGCTTCTACAGCTACAATTATTTACAATAATAATAATAATGATTGATTGATTGAAGACTATGAATATGATCTAATTCTTGATATTCGACTGAATGATTTGAATATTAAATCCAATAAATTTGAATCATACAACTGTTTGAAATTGTAGGTTTACATATTAACATATTAATGTGTTCTATTATACATGTTATTTGCTTGTACTTACAACTGATTCCTCATTGTGTTTTCCATTTTTGATATTAGATAATAAATTTTATATATTGCAATAAAATTTTATCAAACATTATTGAAATCAAATTTTCCTTTTGTCCACGATTCAACAAACTTTTTTTATACTGTAGGCTACCATGTACTATTTTCCTGAAATTTACTAATAAGAGTATAAATCAAACCTTTGTATTTTTAACTGTGTTAATTTTTACCTAATCTTCCATTTCCTACACCAGCTCAACACCCTTGCCTCTCATCCCCATGTATGAATGGGGGAGAGTGTTTAAGCCCTAGTGAGAACAACGATTACTACTTTTGTGTTTGTGGAACAGGCTATACAGGTTCACGCTGCGAAATACTTGGTATGTACTGTTGTACTTGCATTAGGGAGATCCTTGTTGTTATTTGTGAATGTGGTTATAAATTAGGGGTGGTGCCAGGCCCCCCTCCCCTGCTGGCATCACCACTGTTATAAATTGCAATGACATACAAATGCTTCCCCTGCCTGTCTCCTAAGTGCAGTTCCTACTATCTAATGTTTCTCGAAAGATGGAGGCTCACCAAAAAAGATTGTGGGGCAGCCACTGTCTTGCATTTATATATTACTGGTATTTAACATCAAATACAAAGGCTATTTATGTGAATGTAATTTATTATAATCTGCTATATTTTTATCATTACAAAGTGTTTTTTTCCAGCTAAAACCTGAATTGGCCTATTCTCAATGTTAGGGTTTTAGTGTGCCCTCACTAATCATTGCAAAAATGCTTTGTGAATGAATAAACCGGCTAAATAAAACACTGCCTTATTTTATTATACTCTGTATTGTTAATGTCATTATAAACTACAAACAATAAACAAATACTTTAATTACTGCACTACTTAATAATTCAAAGTCAGTATAACATCATTTAAATGTTTGAATTTTAATACTGCAGATGCTTGCTCTGTTGGGCCGTGCCAAAATGGCGGTACTTGTAGCAACACTGGGACTTCATTTACGTGTACTTGCTTAAGTGGTTTCACTGGGTCAACCTGTTCTACCACAGGTGTGTATTATATTGTTTCATTCTTAGAACAAGCTCTTGTTATTCAGCTGAATTCAGTAGTTAAAAAAAAAATTATTGTTTATATATTCATTTTTTTTTTCTAGGTTTTTGTTCCACACAACCATGTCAGAATAGTGGCCAATGCTTAGAAGGGTCTAATAGTTACTTCTGTCTTTGTCCCACACAGTTCAAGGGTCAACAATGTCAATTTCAAGGTGAGTCCTACTCTTAGCAACAGTCATGTCTGCATCATGTACTCATGACATCTAATGTATCTTAAGTAGAGTTCAGGATGATTAAATTTCCAACAGGCATTGAAGTATAAGTGCAGGCTCACTAACAATATACCACTTGCGTATGGGATGTCACGTTTAATATTCTGACCTTCCTTTCATTTTATATATTTCATCATCACATATAAAAAAAAAAAACACTTTAACAAGGTGCAGGCAGCTGCCTACACAAACAAAAATAAAAGAGATGGATCCTATCATAATGTCAATCTGCCAAGAATACATTAGGACTAATAGGTACTGTATATTGCAGGGCAGGAATTAGGAATTGTTGTGCTATAATTATATATAAATATTTTTTTAAAGGATAATATTGAAATGAATATAAAAGTAAAAAAGTAGTTTTAGTAGATGCTTTGGTGAGCATTAATTGTCTTTGTCTCTTTAAAATTATAATAATTTGACAATTGATTTTTATGTTATTTGTTGTTATATTTTATTTTTTTAAATGTGATTGCAATTACTAATTGTTTTGAACTTATGTCAACAGATCTTTGTTTGAATAATTACTGTCAAAATGGTGGGACATGTGCGCTGGACACGACGAATGGTCAGGCCTCATGTACATGTCTACCAGGATACATTGGTGATCAGTGTGAGACATACAGTCCTAATGTTGGTAAGCCCCTTAGATTAATAACCATCAATAGCTGGATAGTTTTTTCATTAGGATAGTTTTTTATGGGAAATATTATTTGTGTATAATCATAAATTATTATGGAAAATTATAATTTATCTGAAATCATATTTTTTAAAATTAAAATAATTTTTTTTGTATGAAACATAATGTTGTATATATTGTTATTTAAAATAATTGCTTCCCTTTATCAGTAAGTTATTAGCTTTCAACTAAAATTTATATAAATAAATTTTCATCAATTAACAAAAGTTGCATTTTATTTTTTATGATTTTTCTCTATTTTATGGGGGGAAATTTCCAAATGGGGTTACCAAATAGCAGAACAAATTGCATCTTTAAACTATAAATTGATAAATTTGATAATTAAAGTTTCTAATAATATGTTTAGTGTATATTGTTTTTGTTGTATTTTCCAGACCATTGTAGTAGCAACCCGTGTGTGAATGGCGTCTGCGCATCAGACCAGTTAGGCTTCACCTGTACCTGTTCCACATACTTCACTGGAGACAGATGCCAGACATACCAGCCAGGTAATGATAATTCCACCCCTACCTGTTTTCCCAAATGTATAAGTACAGTGTCGCATTTGTCTCTACACACCTACATACACTAAAGCCAAGCACTCACCGCATCGTACGACATCGGACAACGAATCGAACCCCGTTTTCTGTATGCGCTAGACCATGCAACATTGTCTGCTGGTTGTCGGTGGCATTTTAAAACATTAAAAACAACTTGTTGCGCGTGCGTTGTTGCGCTGTGTTCTCCATAGAATCACGTCAACCGACGGCCATCGAGTGCTGCAGTGAGTGCCCCGCTTAAGACACACCCATCCAAAATGTACAACATACCTACAATTTTGAAGTATAAGAACTATCAGTTGCTGCCCTGACGTGAGAAACGTAACAAGATGGTACACATGCTAACCTACACAAGCAGCCCTCATATCAGAATGATGTAACTTGCTATTATAATTTTCCTAGCATGCATCCCTTATAACATTAAGTCTCACATGAATTGGTATGTCAGTATGAAGCTTAGAGAGTGGAGTTAATTTTTCGTCATGAAAAAAAAAAAATCTGTTATGACAGGTTTCGAACCTAGGACCCTAAGCAAGGAAGGCAAGCATCTTACCACTAAGCTACAGCACCACTGAAAATGAACCCTTTGAAGTCCCAAGTGACTTTCACCAAGGTCACTGAACCCATTAAGCCCCACTGTCATCATCCGCTAAAATAAAGGTAAGTGCATCACTGACGTTGAACGATTGCTTCCGATTTGGCCATTTTGAATGCTTCCGCACGTCCAGTTGCGGCAACAATAGGGAGATCCCCTAAGTTACTCATTAAATAGAGGGCAGCAGCACTAACAGTCAGTCCCTATCTAATTCGGAGCAAGCTTCCTGCGACAGTAAATTGGTCGTATATTATACGGACGCGACTTCAAAGAATTAAGCATAGGTTTCAAAGTGGAAATTTACTGTTTGGTGTATTTTTTTTTTGTTGTATTATTAAATGAGTTAAAATAAAATACTGTAATGATTTCAGACCCATGTGCAATGAATGCGTGTAGCAATGGAGGGACATGCAGAGTGGATGGCACTTCCTATAAATGTGACTGCACAGAATTGTATTCTGGTTTTTATTGCCAGACACCGATTAGTAAGTGACATATTGTTTATAAACTAGATATATATAAGGTATTGTGTTATCAATAATTGTAGAGGTGATGGTCAAGGATGATGATAAAGATGTGAAGATTTTGATAAAGATTTGATGAATATATTGGCAAAGATGTTAAGTAAGTGATGTCGATGAAGATGATTATAACAAGGATGATGTTATTGAAAATGAGTTGTAATGATGATGCTAATCATTTCTGTTGTGGACAGACAAGAGCAGCTGGTACCGGTTTACCGGGTAGCTCAGACATGAAGAGACACTTAGGGGAGAAGAAAGTTACTGTATGAGCTAGTCCACAGCGCTTTGAGACTCCGGTATAAAGCGCTATATAAATCGAACTACATTACATTCTTGAAATCAAATTATAATCGTGAGAATATTTAAGAATGGTAATGATTAGAATGAAAGTGATAAGAAGGTGATGATGAAAATCATGATAAAAATAATGTTGATGATGATAATTGATGGTCAGAAATTGATATTAATGATCATGACAAATTATTATGTATATTGATAACAGCAACAGTGTTTCTTACCAAACTTTATAAACATTTATATGTGATATAACAAGCCAATTTTCTCAAATTCAACTGATGTGACAATAAATTATTTTATGTCATGTCTGTGTCTATGTAGGTCCATGTGCAGCAATGCCTTGTAACACCGGTACATGCACAGCATATTCGGGTGGCACCTACATTTGTTCCTGTCAACCACCATTTTATGGCGACAATTGTGAATTAACAAGTAAGTGTAAGACAAACATTGATTTGTATAATTTCTCCTGACGCAGAATGCAATCAGAATGACATTGCAGTACATGCTGCTACTTGGCGATCAGATTCATCACTAACCACCAAGTGCAAGCTCCATGGTCTTGTGGTTAAAACACCTTAGGCTGGTTATCTTGAGGTCGTGGGTTTGATTTCCACCTGAATCACTTTTTCACAAGCATTCAGTAATGTACCCCCATCATGTAGGGCAAACATTGATTCATATTATTTCTCCTAATGCAAAATGGCATTGGAATATTAGTGAATTTAATTGAATGGGGGTGCGAAAAGGAAAAGATGCCTGTACATAATGTAACATTTTGGCAATTTATTATCAAAGTGTCAATATTAAAAACTACATTTCCATGATTGGGTGTGCTGCCATCTCTGTTTTCATGTACTAAGTACATTTGAAATTTTCATACTTTTTTTATGGCATGTTATGTATATAAATGTATGTTATGATTATATAACTATCCTATTTTTTTTTTTTTATTAATTAGTGAAAATTTTACAAACGAATAATTTTATGTATATACATTTTTTGATGTGAATGAATAAACCAGAGTATATTTAATTGTTTTAAATTAATTAATTTATTTGTTATTTATACTTGGTTACCTCTTCGAAAAATGTTACTTTCTCCTAGAGGTCCAGTATGCATAAAACATTTCAAATCACATGAATAACAATACAACATATAAAAAAAAAATTTAGGTTAGAAGGAAGATAATAAGGAACCTATATTAGCATTGAAATATTGACGTATATATTAGCATAGAAATATATTTATATCGTACAATTCATTTGCATGAAGTAAACTGTTTACATGTTCTGTTTAGTTGATTACTGTGTTAACAACCCATGCTTGAATGGAGGGGTATGTACTTCGCATCCTGACACGCTGTCTTACACATGCACCTGTGTTTCTGGCTACTTTGGAGATAATTGCGAAGCAGGTAAATAAAAAATAATGTACAGAACTACATTTTGTGTGATGTTTGTGTCTACTGCCCAAGGGGGATATTAGACACTTAATTGTCACCTGGCAGTTTTTACACTGCAAGCAAAATTCCGGACGTAACCCAGGATTTTCAAATACCCGGGTTAAAATCTCCCGAGTTGTGGTTAGTGTAAACATAAAAAAAATCCTACTCGGGTTGCAAAACTTTCCGGGAAGGACGTGCGGGACACATTCAGTGTAGGACAACCCGGGTGCATTCCGGAATTTGATTCTAGAATTAAGCCTTACCTGGCGCCTACAGCAGCTGTTGTCAGGTAGGCCTAAACTTTGCTAACAACGGGCTAGGCCTAGACACTTTTCAAATTAAACCCTCTATGCTTCAATATAGACATATCAAAACTGCTGATTTAATTCGCATAATTTAAAAACAATCTGCAGGTATTGCTTCAATATTGACAATTTATTGTGGTTTTGTGACGACGAGGAACTCGAGCGAAGTGATGATCACCATCGCAACAAAAACTGAGGGCTGTATTTGAACCCGAGTTCGTTGCCAGTGTAAAATGGGAGCAATTCGGGATCAACCCGGATTTTTCGTTCAACGTAAATGGGAAATGCACCCGGGATCAATCCGGAAGTAACCTGGGTCGATTCTGCCTTTGGCAGTGTAAAAGGGGTATAAGTTATCAACTGAGTTATCAACCCAGAAAGCTGCTAGATAAGACCTTGTCCTAGAAAGTTCATTAAAAAGTCATAACAATCTGGTATATACAGTACTTGTACAGTTGTTCTGATGAGTTGCCAACATAGAAAGCATGGATGAGTTAAAGTAGCCAAAAACAATCATATCAAGCAGTTGGAAGCCTATTTTTGTTTCTGTCATGATGCAGGGGTTTGGCCAGGAAAAAAACAATGAAGGTAGTCCAAATATTTAGTGCTAAGCAACAGTCGAAGGGTGTGGCCCTAAGTTTGTGGGGGAGTCTTCCTCTAAAGATTAAAAGAAAAGGATACCATGCCCATATCAAAACCAACAGGTCTTAAAGTCTATTTTACAAGTCCTCGTTTGACTAAAAAATGATAAATCTCTTTTGAAATTGTCCACAGCAGCTAGTGTAGTAAAAGCAGAAAGTAATAGTGTAGTCAAATGATGAACTACACTCATAAGATATGACGTAGACTTGACATAGACAGGACATGGCCAAGGACGTTCAAGATGTCTTGCTAAAGTGGCTGTCATAAATTATTCTCCAAAAGACAGCTGAACAGCTCATTGGCTAAGCCCTTACTGTCATGTGAATGGCTATTAATTTTAGTGATTCATATTTCTATATATGTTTGAAACTAGCATTATTACCATTTTGTACTTTCCAGGACAACCATGTGACACAAACCCATGCCAAAATGACGGCACATGCGTGAATAGTGGCTCAAGCTACACTTGTCAATGCGCCATTGGATTCATAGGCACAAATTGCAATTTAGTTGGTAAGTATTTAGTTTAAATATTTTAAAGTAGTTTTAAATAACACTCTAGGCATACAATTAGAAATAAAACATATAAGACATTTTATTTGTCATCTATACAAGAAGGTTGACTTGAAATTAAGGTCTTTGAATACAACATTTTAAATACTGTATGGTGAAATAGACAGCGTATAATATACAGATAACATATTTGTTTGGTAAATAATAAACATATACATACATATAAAGAAGGGTGCTACGATATATATTTCTTCCAGGTCTGGGAATGTGTCTGGATTGTAAACCGTCATAAACTTTCTGTTGGTCCTTACTCAAATTAGTATATGATTACAGTTTGCCCTAAGATTCGAGACCACCTTTGGGACCTAAAAATTTGGATTGGCCTCAGGTTTCGGTCTCCATATAGAGAGTTAGCTTATTGTTAATAGATGGAAGTTTGTTATTTGGTTCTTTGGAAAAGTGGTCTCGAATTAGAGGGATCTCGAATTGGAGGGTGCTTACACTGTACTATCCTTATCATCAGCATTGTTATTGTTATAATCTTCATAGTCATTATTATTATTATTATTATTATTATTATTATTATTGTTGTTAATATTATTATTGTTATTATTATCATTATTATTATTATCAGCATTGTTATTATAACCTTCATAGTTATTATTATTATTATTGTTATAGTTATTATTGTTATTATTATTATTATCATTATCATTATTATTATTATTATTGTCATTATTATTATTATTAATATTATTAACAGATCCAGCATGTAGCTTAAGCACAATATGCAACACTGGCACGTGTGTTCAACTTGGAGGGGGTACATTCAGGTGTGAATGCTCAGGCTATTACTCTGGAGAATACTGCCAAATATTCACAAGTAAGTAATACATTGATGCTTCATTTGGCAGAATTAATCTGATTAATTAATTAATTAATTAATTAAGACTTTTTTTATACCTTGTTTCACGAACTTATTTCTTTAAAAATCATCAGAGGAAAGTGAAAAAAAAAAACAAACTTATATAATATAGTTTTGCTTTTTATTTATGTAATTAGAAAGAAATATACATCTTATTTTTGGAGATTTCAAGGCAGCAGTGGGAATAATAAAGAAAAACTTTTATTTTTTTCTGAAATTTCCAATTTTTTGTGACAGCGGGTTACCTAATTGACCAAAAATTAAATTTTGTTTTTATTCGAAATTTTTATTAGCGGGCGACTGGTTCACTAAACAAGGTATAAAAAATGTCTTGCCTTAGTTATTTATGTCACTTTAAATATTATGAAGATAGTTTCTTGTATACTTATTGGTTTTAATTATTATATTTTATTATTTGAAGAATTATGTTAAATTGATTGATATCACATTTTACTAAATAATAATTACTTATAAATGTGAAAAATATATATTTCTAAAAAATAAAATTGTATAGTCAAAATGTATGAAATTTAAAAAAAAAACCTAATCAACATAAAGTAGTTTAAAGTTAAGTTTTTTAAAGTATTTTTTAAATACATTTTCTTTACATTACACAACATAAATGTAAAGATTCATTATTACAGTCAACAGAGACAAATTACATATGATAACACAGAATGAAATCAGTATGAAAACAAATTGGGGGAAAGGTTGTGCGTCATCATCTATATTTAATCAACTTTTTTATAGCTTGTTTAGTGAACCCACCTGCAAATAGTGATGATTTTAAACAAAAATAACATTTTATTTTTGGCCAATTTGCGTACCAGCCGCCATGAAAAAATGACAATTTCATGAAAAAAGAAATGTTTTTCTTTATTTTTATTACGCTCTCTGCTGCCTTGAAATCTCAAACGATAAGATATGTTTATTTCTTCCTAATTATATAAATTTAAAGCATTTAACCATCCTGTTACTACACTGTTCATATTTACCAATAACAATTTTTTTTTTTATTATCCATCTTGGATGATTTTGGCAAAATTCTTTGCTAAATAATAAAACTAAACTTTATATTTATATTTATATTTTTTTTTTCGCCGCCCTCTGGTGATCTTTCAAATAATAAGTTTGCGAAACAAGGAATAAAAAAGTCTTGCCTTGAGATTGAAGGAGTTATTGTGTTATTTTAATTTCTAGATCCTTGTTCGAATGATCCATGTCTTAATGGAGGCACATGTGTCCTGACATCTGAGGGGCACACATGCAACTGTGTAAGTGGATACATGGGTGATGACTGTAGCCAAATTACAGGTAATATTTCAGCTTCAGTTTTCTATTTTGTGAATATTTACCTAAATAAACTGACTATCATCATTGTTCCTTAACCAGAACACCCCTCAGAAAGATTGGAACCAGCCAACCCAGGGTACCATATTTATACTAACCACCACATGTTTGTTGTCATTATTTCATATATCTGTGTCTTACAGATGAAAGAAATATTTATTTTGAGTCAACATGTGTGGTCATAATAATGAAAATCAGTCAATGTGGTGGGGAGGGAGGTTGACCCAAGCTGTCTTTTTAGACACAAACCAAACCTCTGTCAGCCTTGACTCATTGGCAAAAATAAAGGAAAACTTTTTCCTTTTTTTTTTTTTTTGCATCGGTATTATGTCCATTCTATGGGTATAACACATTCTAAAACTTCTCAAAACAGTTTTAAAATTGACCAATTTTCTGAGGCACCAAGGCCCTTTCAGGCTTAACCTGAGCTTAGTCCGTCATAAATTGTCAGTCCTGACCAATTAACCACCACTGGTTGTGCTTTTGAGTATGTGCAGATTATTTTCCAAATTCAATTCCATTGTTGCTCTCATCTTGCTTCAGTTCCAAGGCTGAAATACAAAACGTACTACACTATTAATGGGATGCACATACTGATTTCTATTAACTCCTGTTTACATTATTATTGTATCTCCTGCAGATTCTTGTCAGCCTAGTCCATGTCTGAATGGAGGTACTTGTACAAGTACATCAGGAGGATATGCCTGTACTTGTACATCTGCTTATATAGGTGATAACTGTGATGAACTAGGTATGGTAGTCTATTCCATGAATACTTCCTTAGATAAACCATCTATTTTCATTGTTCTCTCATCTAGACCACCCTTCTGAAATAATGGAATAGTCTGACCCAGCATGCTGTATATTATTCATGCCAATGACCACATTGTCATCCTCATTCCTTTTTCACTTTGATGTGAGATCTAGCAGAAAACACCTTTTTTAAAAGCAATAAACAGATGAATTGCATATTAGGTGTCCTAATGAAAAGATCTAAGAGTATGCCAGCTTGCTCAGTTGGTAGAATAACCGAATGGTAATCAGAGGGTCTTGGGTTCGTATCTTGTTAGAGATAATACATTTTTGTTAAGTCATATCAAATAACTTTTTGAAATATCACTAATATTAGAAGGATTTGTGAGATTTGAATGTACAGATATTGGCTCTTTCATGAGTTAGATGCTATAAATTCAATTACAATTAATTGATTTTGTACTCAGTGTACATAGAAACGAAATCAAAATTTACATAATAGTCCTATTATTTTCCTCTTGCAGTGGTTTTACCTGTTTTCCTAGACTGTCCTTCTTACCCCCTGAATTTTACCCTCGTTCCCGAACAATCCTACGCCAACGTAGTTGTGACACTTTCAGCAGAAGACAATGGAACTGCAGTCACGCCATACATAGTTCAGCCCCAGGGTGCTACACTTAATGGTAATATTCAGTTTGAGGAAGCATTTAGAGATGGAAAAACGTACACGTTCCGAGCAGATGATAAAGATGATGCGACACTCTATACTGACTGTACTGTTGTTGTGCGTCTTATTGGTATGTATGTTAAAGGTCTTAGAATCATTTCTTCCATTTTCAGTAGTATGCAGAAGTATGTTCAATATAATATATTGTCAGCATTTATTGCTACAGATGTCATTTAAAAAAAATGATTTCAGTGTAAATATATCATGTTAATTTTTCAAATGTTAATTAAAGTATAATTTCCAATTATAAATGGAATAAATATAATAAATGATGCTAATTAGGTATAGTTTATATTTCGTTGTTGCATTTTTCATAATCTGGCTTCAAAATCTTGATATTTCAATTTAATTATATTTATTAATTAACAAACATATTATTTGTATATATGTTTCTTTAATTGCAGATGAAGAAAACCCAGTTTTGTATTGCTCCTCAAACATCATGCAAATAACTACGGGAGACAGCGCCATTATCTCATGGCCTGTGCCAACGATTACTGACAACCTAAAGACGAGTGATAGCCGGGGATTTGTTTACAGTCACCGGAATAATTCTGCCTTTCCTGCTACAAATACTCCGACTACTGTCACAATCCTGGGATTTGATTCGTTCGATAATGAAGGGGCCTGTAGTTTTGATGTTACAGTTTTTTCATCCGGTAATATTTTTTTGCAAAGCTATGTTTGGTATTGTTTTAATTAATTAACTAATTTATTTTATATTATACTTTTAAGATTAAAATTAAGCAAAAAAGTCTACTCCTCCTCTCCTTGGTTTCTGTTTTGGTTTTCTGGATAGTTAAAAAAAAAACTCAAAAAATAATTAAAATAAAGTAGGAAAAATATTAATAATTACTAATATAAATTATTTCTTTTTATTTAATGTTTAGACTTGTTAGCTAACTACTGTTAACACGTTGACTGCCAGACCTTTTTTTACGGTTCCTTCCTGTGTGCCAAAACAAGTTTACATGTACAAACATACTTTTTTGAAATTTTATCTAGTCATATATCATCTAAATGATGTGTCTAATAAATTGGCGGGCAAATATTAGGGGGCGAGTATACTCGTCAATGGCACTGTGATAGAACTTTTTACTGACTATGCCAAGTGCGAGTTATCTCGTCATCTTTTTGCATGGGTTGGTATATGTTCAAAGGGTGCCCCCACGTGTACCACTCGAGTGTACTACCGGCAACACAACAAACATACATATGTCATTTGTACGTTATCGTCTCGGTGTATCTTCCCCGAACTACCAGCTGTTGAGTCTGTGGTCCTACATTGTATAATAAAGAAGTTATAAACGCTAGAATGTTCCCCCGTTTTTGACGAGTATACTCGTTCCTGGCGCCCTCAGCAACACCCTGTGAACGAGTATACTCGTCGCTGGCTGCCAACGTGTTAACTTACTTCCATGTTAGCTTACTTGGTTGGTATGACACACTAGTCAGGTTTAGGTGAACAACACTTTTGTTAGAGGAGACAGTTTAATCATTATTCTATGTTCATCTGTATGTAACAGGATAGCCAGATAAGTGTTGAATTTATTGATATGACTTTTGATATACAACTAATCAGTGTGATTCTTTATTTACTAGTTACTGATTGTTCCCCATTTCCTATCATCGATAATGGTCAAGTAAGCTGTGAGGTCATCCAATCACCTCTTGAGAGACGGTGCACTGTATCTTGTAATGAAGGCTACGGTCTTGTGCCTGTCAGTGGCAACTCCAATGGTGTTTATCGCTGTATAATTGAGAATAGAGAACAGGCAGAGTGGGAGCCTAGGGAGAACCCATTTATATGTGCAGGTTTGTTTTTTCGTTTTGGAAATTTAAAGCTATGTTCACACTACCAGTTTTATGTGACAAATGTAAGTGATTTGTCCAAATATGGTTGTGATATGACATCATCATGCCTATATACACTGGTGTGTTAGAATATCACCATGCCCATAAATAGGCAAATCACACAATGTTGGTATAGTTGATAGAACTTCAAAGAGTTCTTTGCATGTGAAAACCTGGGCAGTCATAAAAACACCTGGCACAGGACAAGAATTACTGGGATGAAGCTTAGGATGTATCAAACTCCAAGGGGAAGATCCTGTGGGGGAATGTGGGTGCTCATGTTCCCCATCCCTGTTTGCGACTACATTTTTAAATTTTCAATGCATACCAATACCATGTATTGAAATAAGAAAATAATAGAATTTAAATACAAAATGTTTTAATAGGGCCTCCAATCCGTTTGTTATGCCACTGCTGCTAGTGCTCTCCACTTACTTATTCTTAAAATTGGGTGCCTCCCCCCCCCACCCCTATTTGAAAAATTCTGGATATGCCCCTGGAATAAACACTGTTTTGCAGTTTGTTGTAATTGCAAAGAATACACACTACACATTCATTTAAGTTAAAATTTCTCCAGGTTGTAAAAGATACCAGTTATTGAATGTTCCAAACTTTTTTTCACAGAACTTGTTGATCCTACAAATTACACTCAAACCATCTCGGTCCAATTCACCCTGCCATCCGATGTCTGTTCCTCTGGGGAAGATGAGGTCATTTCTGACATCCAGCAATCTCTGGGGAATGAGAACCTCTGCAATAATGGAGATGCTGATGCTTGTCAAGACATCTCTCTTGACTGTGGCAGGAACTCGGTACGGAGACGAAGAACTGCCACAGAAGACATTGATCTTGATATTGCAGTCACTAGTCCTGGCAGCAGGAATGCGAATGATGCACAGACAGATATCACCGATGCAACAAGCAATATTGCAGATCTCGTTGACCAGCATGGGCTCTCTGTAAACCTCAATGGTGAAAACTTTACAGCGAGTGGGTCGCAAACAGGAGAATTTGGTGTCATCTGCCCTTCAGGACATATTACACTATCTTATATGTGTGGTGAGTGTGGCCTTCACTAGATTTAATGTAAAATGCTTTGATGATTATAGATATACAGGTAGAGTTGTATTATGTACAAACTAGACTGCAGTTCATTAGATAAAATAGCTCTGCACAATGTTCAAGCATCTTCGCTGTCTGTACATTATTCCTAATCATGAATACAAAACATTTCAGACCAATAATTGCATTCACAATTACATAATACCATGATTCAACACGTTTAAGTGTATATGAACAAATATTTATACAATTTGTGATTTCATGGTGATCTTTTCTCTTTAGCTGCCTGTCCAGCAGGAACGTACTTCAGCAATAATGAGTGCTCATACTGTGTGAAAAACTACTACCAGGATTTATCAGCCCAAACTGAGTGTCTAGCTTGCCCATCTAAATCACCAACCACCAGGGAAGGCAGCTACAGGAAGGATCAATGCAGTAAGCTAAATTCTAAAATTTGCAAACCTGTATTCACTCGTATGTTTTTCTACATGAAATGCTTCCATCTTAATAAAAGTTGATGATAAAATTTACCTTGTAAAGTCGGGAAAACCCAAATAATTCAATAAATACATTGTGTTGCTCACAAATTTTGGCCTACCATACCATCGCAAAACCAGAATCAGTGACTTTTTTAATATATTATAGTGCATATTGTAAGACTTCAAAGTCATTTACTGGAACAAACTTGCTGTTGCCACAGTTATGAGTAAAAGTACTTGACTTCTCTGTACTGAAGTATACAATGCCGCCACAATCTTATGCTAATTACTCAGTTTAACAATTAGCGACAATTAGACTCATAATGTAACTTTCAATTTGACACATATTGATAAATTAAACAATTTACAGATTAAAATTTTCATTTATATCTAAAATTTTTTTGAATGTCGTGACTAACTAATGAAATTTTATCATTTGAAATAAACTTAACGAAAAACTATCTAATCACATAATTTTTGAAAACTTGATAAATTTATTTTATTATTGACATTTTATTTTTTATTTTTTTGCATTACCAGCCCCTGGTCCATCGGAGCTTTCTGACTCATGGTCAACAGAATTGATAGTGGTTGTTGCTATTGCATGCGGTCTGGTGTTCCTCCTTCTCATTTTCTTGCCTCTAGCTTGTTGCTGCTGCTCTAGTTGTTGCAAGGAAGATTATGAAAAAAATCATCTTTCTAGTATGGCTCATTTAAATAAGGCGTACGATGATGTGTTAGATGACGACATTGACATGTTTGATGCGCACCACAACTACAATGATATGGACCACCCGGACTATCAGAGTCTTCATTCAAACGGCCGCATGATACGCATTCCCACAATTTCAAAAGGAACAATGGAAAAAGAATACGAGTTAAACATAGCTAACGGTAATGGGCATGCATATATGGGCAACACAGACGATGATGTACCTCCAACGCCAACCGTTGCTCCACCACCACCCTGTCTCTTATACACATCTAGATGTGTATAAGAGACAGCACGTGTACCACTCGAGTGTACTACCGGCAACACAACAAACATACATATGTCATTTGTACGTTATCGTCTCGGTGTATCTTCCCCGAACTACCAGCGAAAGTTGTATCGGATAATGTCACCCGTAACATTTTTTAGAGCTGTGTATCAGTTATTTGGTATCAAAAAATTTAGTTTTATTATAAATTAGTTTGTTTTCATACCTGATTCAAAACATAACATTTTAGATCTCACATATGTTCCTTTTATTTCTTTCATATACTTCTAAAGTAGCGGCTGTGATGTTTGATCCTTTTTACTAGTTACTGAAATGATATTACAATGTTTAATGTAATACTAAGTTTGTTTTATTTTTTTTTCAAACGCCTTCCCAAAAAAATCAACAAAACATGAAAATATTAATATTAATAATTGTGTCTTGTATAGCACCAGTATCCACCAACAATGGGCAATTCCTGCAACCTTCATAGCTTCCTGAGAAGTATTCGTAATTGTGCAGCAGTCTTAGCACCAGTGGCGTAAGAAAGAATTTTAAGGCCCCCGGCTATGGTCTCTTTAGGTCCTTCTACCCTGGGTGCTCATGGAGATGTGTAAGGCCCTAGTCAGGTACAGTGCTAAGCACATATTCTCTTCAGCAGTTTTTTTTTAATGGTGTTTTTTTACATGTTCTGCTCCTTAGGGCCTCATTTGGCCGAATTGAGCCCCATTGAGATGCTTATTTATTTTTCTGGTCAATGAGGGATGTACTGTACCATTCCATCAGATTCATTTTAAACATGGTGTTGGTCTTTTCACGACAAAAGGCACTAAATGGTGACAAATGAGTAATTTTTGCTTTATAATGTATAAGTTTTTCAATAAGTTAAAACTTGCCTTAATTTAAATCTTTTTATTGAGAAAACAAATGAGAAATGATACACAAACTGAAAACTGGCACACCATTGCCAAAATCAGTGTACAGTTCGCCCTCCAATTCGAGACCCCCCATTGGGGGGCATATAGGGTGATTTGTGAGACTCAAATAGAGATTTGTAATTATCTTTTTCTTGGGAAATGTGTAGATTTTCACATCATGAAATCATGTACATATTTATATGGATATTGTGTAATCTATACTTGTCTTCCATTAGCATATAGTAGTTTTAAAGGTAGTACTACTGTAATTACTAAAGTAATAATATTTATTATTTATTTTTATTTCGTTATTTTTTTTTTTTTTTACTCTAAACATTTTTATAATGGTTGGTGCTTTTTATAATGATTGTATATCTTATTTCATTTTTCATTCAGCCAATACTGAATTAATATATTTTCAAACATAGTTTTAAAGCCTGTTTTCTGCTAGAAGAATTTATTTGTGCGAACCAAAAGCTTCGGTTTGCTTCCAGAGCTCTGATTGGTTGTGCATGTTTGCTTTGTTAAAACTCCGATAGAGATGTTAATGCCCATGCGCACGAACTGACACTTTTAATTCTCGTGAATAAATTTGCCTAGTGGAAAACAGTCATTGTGTCATAACGATATGACACAAGTCTAGCTGTGATTGAAATTTATTTATGATTCTAAATAAAAAAAACTCTTGGTTAGTATTTTTCAAAATATATTGTTTTGCACTCTATTGGTATTTTTAGGTTTGATTGACATTTTACAGCCTTGTCATCAAAGACTTTTTAACTGTACTGTTAATGTAACAACTTTTCATTGACCAATTTATTTTATCAGAATTAAGTTTTGGTTGAGCATTATGCATGTATTTTTTCTCAAATTAAGTGAAACCTTAAATTGTTTTTGTTTTTTTTCTTCTTTTTGGATTCACCCCTTCTATAAAATTGTTTTACTATGTTTCATGCACAATGATGTTATATTTATATACACCATTATGTTTTGTAGTTCTGCTTTATTATTAATTGTATAATGTAGTTTGTAAGTCATATGTACACAGGGGTGGCCCGTAACCAGAGGGTATCGGACGACCCCCACAGAAGAGGGAGTTCTGCTCTACTAGACCAACACAAAACACAACTTAGTGCGATTTATGCACTTGTCAGTGTGTGCCTTAGCCTTATAACGTGCACTGTAGTTTTTATGTGCAACTATACTCAAAAGACGTTCTGCGCAGTAAACGAAAATGATGATGATGTATATATGATCCTATCTGTAGACTTCCTACTACATTTGATCTACTAACAATATTGCATGGTATAGCCTACTGCCGATTCTTAAATATTTGCACATATCGAATCGATTCAGTTGTAATTCACGAAAATTGTATAAATTCATTTGAAAGCAGCTCAAAAACACTAGGAAGAGCATTTGGAATGGTTTTCAACATTTTTTGAGAGAACCCCTGGACCCCAAAAGTTCCACTCAGATTGAAAAAGATCTTTCCCCCCACCCCCCCCCCCCCCCAATTACCAAAGCACCAAAGCTGGTTACCGGCCTGGTAGGTTGGAGACACCTAGCCCATCAGAGAATTGCTGTAAACTTTGGGTAAAATTTATGATACTGTAATCATTTTCTAAGCCAGAGATAGCTGGCCAGGGTGCTATTTTCAGGCATCTAGAAGAGACATAATCTACATTTTGTCACTTCAGGCTCAGTCATGATGGGTGGGGCTGAGGTGGATGTGACCCATCTGTCAGGCTCCTGATGCCACCACTGTATGCATTGTATTGTAGATACAATATCAGTCAATATGCTTTTGAAATTAAGTGATTAAAATTCCCTGCCACTGAAGTATTTACAATTTTTGATGTAAACTTGTTATCCTTAGCATTTTCAGATATTTTAGAATTTTGTTCTTGGTTAGAAGAGTTACAACTCACCGATTTTATGATTTAAAAAAAAATTAATATTTAAACTATGCATTTTTATTGTAGTATTACACCAGTTTTATGATTTAGTATTTATTATGAATGATGTAGTTGTTTTATATATAATGGGATTAAGAAGAAGTTAGGTAGGAAAAGCCAACAATGAACACTGGTGATGTTTAAAGTGCCTTGACAATTCATTAGAATGGACCTATCTAGCTTGTAAATCATATATTAATTGACCATTATTATACACTTGTCTTTCAAAAACACGTTTTACATACATCTATGCTGTAGTTTTGTAAGACCCTAGCAGAAAGGCTCATTATTATTAGTAAGTAGTATTAGTAGTTTATTGTACTGTATTTATGTATAATTTCTGGGTAGTTTCTTCCAAAGTCAGTATCATGCAAATATTTAAATATTATATAAAGCAGTATGCAAATACTAGCTAGAGGCTATGTTCTCACACGGCTGCTAATGGTTAGCAGGATCCGGATCCTGCTAACCGTTAGCTGCCGTGCGTCCATACGAGAAAATCCCGATCCGGATACCAAAAATATGATGATCGAATCACTGGCCAATAAGAAACTGTAAATTGTTAACGCGTACGTGTGATTGGTTGATGATAAAAACGCTCTCAACTTGCTAGCCGATAGCGCTTGATAACTCTTAGCGGTATCCGGATACAGCTAACGGTTAGCGCTAAACGGTCAGGCGTTCTCACGCAGGTTCTAACGGTTAGCTCCCAATCTGGATACTAGGGCTCTCGTGAGAACCAGGCTACTGTACAGTTATAGTACCAGGAGTCCAGTATTTGTATGCAGCAGCCACATACGTGGGAATCACAGGTGTACAAGCTTGTTGAATTTACATACCAGGTGTTTATGTTGATGTACGCTTTTGTCTATGTAATAAGGCATTTTATAACAATAACAAGTATGGATTTATGTTTTTACTTGTCAGGTCTGTAATAACTGATTTATCTCTGCATATGGATGGCAGCTGTTGATGCTTTCTTTAAGCACATTCGCACCTGTGAATCATGGAAGTGGTTGGTTAACCGCTGGTCGGTATTATCATGCATGATTAGTTTGAAGCCATATTGAATAGAATTTAAGTAAACAATATTTCACAATGTCTTGCTATAATATCTTGCTTTAAAACCTATTTTGATTATAAACACTTGATAATTAATTGTACATACATATAATATGAGTAGACCAGATGAAGTTATTTTGTACATTACTATTTTTCTTCATAATAAAAATAATTTAATGCAATGCATATCTGGTGTTCTTTTATATTTAAAAGTTTCATTTAATAGGACTGCATTTGTTTGTATCACAAAATGATCGTCCATTGTTGTAAATGCTTTAATAAATTTTTGGGTGCAATGCATTGGAATTGTTTGAATAATTAATTTCTTGAGAAATTGATTATTTAAAAGTATCCCAATAACATAAAATAGCGTTTATTCAGCTTACTCATGAAATGAGCTTACTTATTAAAAATACAGCAGATCTAATAAACGCTAGTGTAGATTTTATCAGCGCTTTAATATTGAAACATTTACGGTGAATAATCTGGCATAATTTAACAACTGAATCCATGATACTAATAACATTAACACATTTTAATGGAACAAAAGTGCTAGAAGCAGTCTCAAGGAATACCATCTACTGTAGTCTGTTAGAGGTTTCTATTCCCTAACTTAGGCACACGATGTTGAACAAGCAAAAGCACAAGTCCTCCCTCACTTTACAGTTTTTTGTTGGCATTCCCTACTTGCATAGCAGTTATGACTGGTCTGTAAACCAATGGACAATCCCTACTCTACATACAGTGGTGGTGATTGGTCTGTAAACTGATGGGCAATTCTTACTCCTCTAGTACGGTGGCAGTGATTGGTCCATACATTGATAGAGAATCCATATTTTTCTTGAACAGTGCTGGCGATTGGTCCATAAAATCAATAGCTACTCTTCTTTCTGATAAACTTATAAAGTTGTTTAATGTGCAGCTTTTGATATTTGTATCAAATTGGTGTGGTACAGTATAAAATGTTGATACTTTTATTATTACTTGAAGCTTAAAAGACCAACAGCTTTAAAACACTTCTCATAAGATGGAGAGCAGCGATGAAACCGAACTAAGGACCCACATATATCCATCAATTTGTACTTGATTCTAACAGTTAACTAAAGTATGAGCATATTAGACTGTATGAGCATATTTGATGAATATTCGTGGATTACACATAAATGCACAATTAAGTTTAAAGGGTCTTGATGGAAGTATAAGATTAGCGTATTCTTTAATAATGGTATTAAAAGGTTATTTAATCTGGAGAAGTCCTAGTTTTAAATGTTAATTGCAAAGGTTAATTTTCCATACATATATTTTATAACTAGGTTGCTTTTTTCTTCTCCAACCCCCATTAACCTTTTTGTTCACATATGATTTTTTTTTATGTTTCTAATCATCATATGAGTGATCCAGTACTTAGTGCAAAGAAGTCTTTCTGATGATATTGCAGTCCTCTCTGAATAACTCAAGGGTGGTACTGAAAGTAGTTGCACACCATAATTTCTGCTAGATCTTCATATTTCTATTCTTCTAGTTGCTGCCGAAGTGAAGCAATGCTTCGTTCTAATTGACAGGCTTGTTCATTCCACTGTCTGTTGTATGTCTGTGCCTCAAGCACTTGCTTCTTCAGCCTTGTCATCTGGGCAACATTTCTTTTCTGTAAGATTATTTCAATGGATTTTGTGAAGTGTTTGAAATGATCATAATCAGCACTTTAGAGGACTAACTACATTGAATTCTTTCTCCATTCAATGATACAATATTTAAAATTAATAATTGTCTTGTAGGATGGAAGCCTAAATTCAAGAAAAAAAAAATCAACACAAAACAAAAACACTCAAAAAATAAAACTCGCATGTGAGGAATATCGAAACCTCAGCCCACACTATCAAATTTTATGTGACAAAAGAAAATTTAATATGCCAATATAAAATTGTTAATATTTTTACCATATTGTAGTTAAGCCCAACCTTGAGCAGTAATTCCTGGCCCGAAAACCTTGACTCAGAAGTACTGAGTCGGTGTCCGGTGGGGAATAGCTTTCCACCAAAGTTTTTACTATTGTTTATTTCATTGTATTGTGCTGTTACCTTTTTGTAAGTTGTTATTGTACAATGTTTTTGCAGGGCCATATTGTAAAACAGCGATAAGATCTCGTCTCTATATGTTATCCTGCCTAAAGATGTTTTAAATAAAAATAAAATAAAAATAAAAAATATTTGGGTGTAATATCACATCAAATTTGTCCAATAGGGGCGCTTATTCGAGAGGTTCACGCATTGGTAAAATCCCAATTGCTAAATAATAACTATAATTAAATAATTAAATAATTACCACGGCCTGCTTCCTTTGAAAGCAGTGACTTTTATGTCAGTGAATTTTTACAAAGATAAACAAAGCTCAGAGTTAATCGGATCACAATATACATAAGTAAATATTTAACAGGGCTTCCCTGGAAAGCAGTGAATAGTTATGAGGAGCTCAAATTAAATTGGATTAGATGTTAGACTCACATGCCAGACTGATATATCCTGCTTTAGCTTAGATTTTTGACCTTCACAATTCTCTATCTAAAAAAAATTACAAAAAGATATCATAGTAAATATTAAGGTGATAGAAAAGGTATTGTACATGCATCACAGCCAATTACAGAGATCATGGGCAGTAGAGAATGTTAACATTTTCAAATGGCAGCAGGGTGAATACAGGGTTACTGTATTATAAATGATTACATGAAAAAATGGGAGCAAAAATGAATGAAAGAATCAACAAAATGCACCTTTTTTAGATTCCTATCGATGTTTGCCTTTAGGTTAATCGATTTCACTTCCAATTCTTGTATTTGTTCTCTAAGATTCTGCTTACAAGTGCCCTCTAGCAGCAGTCTTGTTCTTTCTGGGTTGGCCTCAAGAATCTGCCCTAGGATTTAACAACAACCTTGTTCTTAATATGGGAATCATAATCACACCAGAACTTGGATTTTATATATCACACTTAAACTTTATTTTATAATAATAAATCTTTTACATTGTTAGGATCATATTGTTGAATGTCTATTGATACTTCATTTTCTTATTTTTTATCTTGGTTGTATTTTCTGAATCTTGTTATAAATCTATACATTTTGTATTGAAATCCTATATCTGACCAAAAGAATAAATAATTATAACAATATTATATTATTTGTTTTTTTTAAATTTATTTATTTATTTCTTTATTCTGAATACAAAAATAATATTCAAGGATAAAAACACAATAAAGCACCGAACAGGCACACTTATTTCCATTGTGGTCCAAAAATGCAGTTTAGCAGTTTAATCTTGTACTATATTCATCCATAAAAATATGTTGTGCCTTATTAGCTTTGTCATATACTGTAGGTAGCTTACTTTCATCCATGAGCATTCGGATGCTGTGTTTTGTCTCATCCAAGGCTTGGTTTGTTACAGACATCATTTCTTGATTCTCACATTGCTCCTTGTATGCAGCCATCTTGGATCTGTAGTTGCTTCGCAGTCTGTATGTTCAACATAGAAATGTGATTATTGGGTAGAATTCAATTTTTGGTTATGGGGGATGTTGCAGAAAGATGGAGTGGCACTTTGTGATCATACCTGGAGTGGTGCTTACAACACTTGTGTAACTAAAAAGAAATCTTACTTTTCAGTTCTAATTTCTTCATCCACGTATGTTTCTTTTTCTTGAATCAATTGAAGGTTGCAAGCAGAAGCAGCAAAAATTTCTAAAACAGAATACATACATTTAATAATAAATTATTAAAGGATATATTTTGATCAATTTTTATATAAATAGAAAATGCTAGGGTAGATGTAAAACAAAAACATTTTATTATTAAGTAATCCTCTAAATATTTCTTAAAGGTTAATTGCATGGCGAGTATCAATAACAAAATCGTTAAACTTTCGGTACACTATTGTAAGAATATGGTTTTTGAGGTAAAACCACTGGTTGGTTAGTTATTCTCATTAACACTAGCTAATAGATATATATGGATAGATATATAGATGGATTAATAGATAGCTAGATCAGTGGTGGTTTCAGTGGGATGGGGCTTAAGCCCCAATCAAACAGGCTAGGATCCCCTCTTATTGGCCATGATTCACTGGGCCAGTAGTTTAATTGAATAATTGCCATAAAATGATGTGATCATAGGTTCTAGAAACTCTTAGAACAGCTTAAAAATGGCCCACAATTTTAGTCTCTGAATCCATTGTCAATTCAAGGCCCCTTCTTGGATAACCCTTCAATTCTAGGGTCACCTAGAATCAAATTAAGTTATTAAATGTGTAGGTATAGGCAGTCCTAATATAATGACAGGTAAATGTATACTTTGTTACAGTACACCATAGTTCATTGTAATTTACACCTACTTTCTTGTAAGTGTACACAATTCTTTTCTATATTGCTGAGCTTATCTTCAATCTGCAAAATTTTTCTGACACGTGAATCTTTCTCACTTATAAGTTTCGAAAGTTCTGCTGATTCTAGGTTTAAAAAAATGTTTGTATTTAATTATATAAAACATAAATAAACACATCAAAAAATATTCAAGCACATTAAACATTTAGTATCCAGGCACATTAAACATTTAGTATCTGTAAAATAAATTCTTTACCTGAAATTTAGCATCAATTTTTTCCTAAGCAATTTAATTATTAATTAAACACATTAAATACTGTACCCTTTTTTTTGTGTACAAAAAATACTGACCTTGTATAAGCTCCTCCTATTAGAAAAAAAATTAAAATAACAATGATTAAAAATTGAGAATAATACAGGTAAACATGGCATATTATTAGTACAATAATTAAACACATACCAGTACAATGACATAAAAAAATATATACAAACTAAAATATTAGTTTACTGGCTTAGAACTCTTCCAGTGTCAGATGATAGCACAAATCTTATTAACATAGTGGACTATATATAATTCTGTGGGCCTACATTTATAAATTAATGCTAGTTAAAATATAAACATCCTAAGCATCTCCAGCCAGTAACTGATGTGATAGAGTCATACAGTGTGTACCCTGACTTATCATTTAGATTCTGCATCTTAAACTTTACCTGAACAATTTTGAGTTGTTCTTGATGGTTTGCAATCTTAAAAGCCTGAGTTTTTTGGGCATCTGACACACTCTTGATGACTTCAGGTAGACTGCTCTCTTCCTCCTTGACATCCACCATTGATGATGGTGTTTCCTGGTTATTGCTGGGTAGGGCTGAATAAAATAATTCTTATTATTCTTATTCTTTATTCTAAAAAAAAAACAAAGTATAATACAATGGTGGAATAGATACAGAATATAAATACCACAAATTGAATGAGTGGGCATTGACACAAAAGCATAGTTACCAACTCAACAGATTTGAAAGTGGGGGGGGGTGAGGAAGGCCCTGGACCTTCGATGATCTGAGCATTCTTAAGCTGATTTAAATCGATTTCCGGGAGGGTTTGTTGACAATACTGGGTATGGTAAATAAACAAAAACATTTTTAATAAAGCTATGTACTAATGAGGCAAAGACAAGCCAAACCAGTCACTCATCGCAAAAATGGATCTTTAGTTATTAATACAGGGTTAAACAATGAGAACTATAAAATGGTAAAAGAATCATTTAAATCCGACATTTTGTCATGAAGTTACAAGAGTGTAAACAAATGGTATTTTAAAGATGCACTGTGCCAAGTTGCAAAAAAACAAAAACAAAATCATAAAAATCATTTTTCAAATTTACTAGCCCATTTTGAAGTAACATAAAAATTATAAACTTAGTGTATGCTTACCCATAAAAACCATCATTTTACAGCGAAAAATGATAGAAACACTTCCAGCTAGTCACTGGAAGTGTTTTATTTTATTATCTTTAGTATAATAGGCCTATCTAGTTAAAAAATCGGAATTTTTTAAATTAAATATTTCTATGCTCAAGTTAATAATTTGTGTGTTACTGCAAAATGAGCAGTTAATTTAAAAATTATTTTTTATGATTTTGGTCAGTTCTTTCTCGCCTAGGGGCCTTCTACTACTTTCTCGGCGGCCGAACCGGGTTATAAAAAGTAGAGTCCGGCATATGTCTGACCAACCTACTACTAGGTTATATAGGCTAGGCCCTAGGCGCGTCCTACCTAGGCCGATCTTTTCCATTCAGGAAGCAGCAACTTTGTCAAAAGAAAGAAGCATGTAGGCGAGACGTGGTCAGCAATTGAAGCCTAGAGGCTCTAAAATCTAGTATACGGTATTAACAGAGTGTAATCCTACTCGGCCTAGAACAATCAAATATCCCTTGGCGTACGACTGTAGTAGCTAGTTATTGAAGACAAAATCGTATGCTCCTCCTCTCTCTATTTTAGATCGGGGAAGGGGCGGGGACTTCGTGATTATGAGGTACTTCCCCATTGGTCGATCGCCTTTAGAAGATTTAACCAATGAACGTCAAGAATTAAATTATACACTTGTTGCACGTACTGAGGTCCTATCTCAATCGTATTTTTCATCGTATATTGATATTATTTTGAAAGCAGCTTAATGATTGTTATGAGCCAATGGTAGAATATATTCAGATGCGCATAGGCCGGCTACTCACTATAAATACTAACCCAACAACATCGTTGCAGTTTGTACTTATATTTATACTTTACTATTTTTAATTTTGAAAAGAAAAAATAGCTTTTCTCTTTCATTTTATTAACTTACCTTGTGATTTTAATTTTTTCGATGTAATTTTATCAAATTTGTATGAATGCATGTGTTTTAGAATCAGATTTTTATTCATATTTGTAATTAAGTCTATTTTCAAAATATGCAACTTTTCAATTTTTATACTGTAATTTTGTATCACAAAACAGGACCATATGTAAAACATGTTATACTTCCTGATATACGGAAGCCCATTAGTGCCACCAGTGAATTAAAATTTCAGATCCGTTAAGTGGCGGCGGGCCGCCAGATAACTACGGGCTTCCGTACTGATATGTTATCCTGTATACAAAAAAATAAATAAATAACTTAAATAAATAAATACTGTAGGGCCAGGCATAGGCCTACTCTCTATTCAACGAACAAAATAAACATAAAAAAGGTAACAGCAAAACTGTTGGCTGTTAATTCGTTGAAACAGTGTGCTGTTAAAATTGGTTTTTCTTATACAACTATAGGCCCACATTAAAAAATATTCATTTGATGACCTCACATGTTTGCTCAATGAGGTATCAGACAAGGGATACATCAGCCTGTTGGGAATAATGAGCATTCCAACGGGGGATATAGGAAACTGATCAAAATCAGAATCAAGTTTATTTGTCCTTATCCAAACGAAAAAAATGTTAAAACCAACAAATAAAACGAGAAAAATCACATTATACGGACTATAACGGAATGAATTTACTTCCACACTCTAGGGGCGTTGGCTGGAGGCCCAAAAAAGGCAAATATGTTCCGCTGGTGTAGGCCTAAACCTATAGGCATGCCTGGCCTACTATAGTAGAATGGAAAATTTACAGGGCAGCAGTAGAACTCCATTACCAAAGAAAGTATAAAAACCTGATATGCCTAGTAGTAAAACAAAATAAAAAACTTTTTTTTTTATCCGAAATGTGAATAAAAAATACAGTAATTCGAAATAAAGTGTAGGCCTATTCTTTTCCTTCTTTTAAAGCTTGGTTAATGAAATAAAAAGCGCTTAATGAGATACATATTTTTTATTAGGGCCTATTTAAAAACTTGGGGAAAATATGGAAAAGGGGTAAATCGTTGAAATTATCAAATTTCATTGGCGTTTACCTCACTCTGTCCGAGCAAAAAAATCCTTAAACACCATTCTTCCCTCAGTAGAGAACATACGGTGCATGCAATACTGGGGAAATATATACTCGAAGCAACAGCCTAATGTGAATTAATGGGTCTTAAATGTTATCATGATTTTTAAAAATACATCAAATGACGGCGACATCATTATTTTTTCAATTACTTTTATAATTCTATGTAATCTTTTCAATAATACTAATAACACATGCAACAGTAATAATTGGAAAAAGAGTACAAACATTTTTTTGTTCTCCTTTTAACTGAACGTTTTAAACTTTATTTAATGATTGGGTGTTTTTTTTATATATAATACTGTATAATAAAAATGAAACAATGGATATTACTATAAATCACAGGCGACCAAAGTATTATTCTAATTACAATATGCCTATATACGCTTATTTTTTTTCAATTTCCGATACAAAATTAAGAACACAATTATGCCAAAAAAGAAAAAACGAATACATCATAAAACGCTACAAACACCGGAGCGCCCGGGGATTCACTCCCACACCCCCACCGAGGGGCTTTTTGACCCCTTCTTTACGCCACTTATCTGTTGTAGTTTCGAATTTCCAATTTTCGCACCCGGGAAAACTCTTACCTACGCCTCTGATTCCACTTGTGTTTTCTACGTTATTTTCGTAAATACATAATAATGGGGTATCAATCATGACCTATTTTGCTAATATAACTAAACATCAGCGAATGGTAATTGGGAGGTCTTGGTTCGAATCCCGATAGGGACAAATACGATTTTGTGAAGAAAAAATATTTTTATCATAGCCCTATACCACCGATGGAGGTCTTTTTATGTTTAAAATCATGTAATTGTATATTACAATACCTTTGAGTAACAACGTGTCGTATGTGGTAAATACAAAGGACTACAGTATACCAACTTGATCTTATCATAGCCATTGTCCGATAGGGAAATGGTAAGGGGACTGTGTGACAAATATTGTGGTATACCAACTGAGATCCAGAATAAAAATGTTTAATTATCAGAGTGACAGTCCCCTAGCCTACTAGATGACTTCTGAAAATACTGGCATGCATGCTTCCACCCAACCCCACATACAGTATATCTTTCAACGCTTTATCTCCCCTGCCGCTACCCCCGGCCCATCTCGTTGTTACGCCACTGACAATTAAATTAACATAGACTTGATTTATACTGCATCATGACGATATAAAAATAGTATACGTCTCTTATACACATCTAGATGTGTATAAGAGACAGTATATATATATATATATACAGTATTTATAATGTTATATTTCTAATTCTAGTAAATAACGCAATATAATTAAAGTCTAGGCCTAAATATCGAATGTTGTATAGTAATATAATTTCAATGATAACGTTAAAATACTGCAGTATTGTACTCCATCGTAATTTTAATGGGGTTTTTTTGTGCAGATGTTTATTTTAATAAGCCTACCTTTATACATGTTGTGTTACCAGTTTCAAAATCAAGTGTTTGTACTTCAATTTTATCATTAATGAATGGCGTCACGGTTGAGGGGAAGTAGCTTAACATCATAACGAAACATGCTTTGTTCTTCCTTTCAAATTTTGGAAAGGAAGGCACGTCTGATCATTTTGTTTGTTCATGGTTAGACCAATAGAACAGCCTGATAATAAATACAAGGCTTCATAATAGTTTTAATAATAGGGGCATATTCACATTTTATACGTCTCTCAAAGCGTGATTAAACAAAGTCTCAATTCTCATTTGCACCATAAACCTACTACGGTAAATATTTTCAATGACCCATCTTCTCTTCATTAATTAAAGCACAAAACGAATGAGACTGGAAGAGTAGTGTTTATCATATAATTCAAATTTCAATCGATTGAATTATAGATTGATTGATTGATTGATTGATTGATCGATTGACCGGGAACGGTTAAGATACAGACTTTTGAATTCGAAAAACTGCGGGAAATGCGCTTACATACCCTCGACCCTTTTCCCACAATATTACTACGGTACCGTAGTAGCAGAATCGAAACAGGAAACCCCACCGTTACAAATTAAAATAGTTTCATCTGGTTTCTGTGATGAATGGACATGGACAAATTCTACGTCACAAACAGTACGTTTACCTACAAGAATTTTTCCAGGGTCCTACCGGTACATGCAATATACAAATGCTGTACAATAACGATAATATGTAAATATTTCTTTTAGTATCTGTATGACGACGATATCGACACTAGCGGCTATAGGTATGATGCCACTGTGTTTATGGATTTACAGTAGAAGTTGGACGGATGAATCCACCGTCATCCCCTATATCAGTATCATCACCTCCCTGGCTCTCATCCTAGTTCCTGTTGTTATTGGAATGCTTATCCGCCATTATAAAGAACGGTGGACAAAAATCATTACCCTGGTGAGTTTTGGAAAGACGTTTAATGCGATGCCGTTGTATACGGCCTTCCCTTTTAAAAAGGCACTGTACAATTTTGTTTGTATTATGATTATATTTATTAGTTGTTTATATTTCTTCATCGAGAGTGCGATAATCGTAGTTGTCAAATCGAATAGAGACTGAAATTTATTACCCTGAAACTATACTGCTGTTTCAGGTTTTACCATTCACCCATCCATCTATTCCATATTTCTTCTTAGCTAATTTAGGCTGTACCGTATTTTACAAATACCAGTGATTTTCCCATAGTTGTGATATTATATGGTACCCATATAAGGGCAAATCACATAAAATTGTTCCAGAAAATAAAATAAAATAGTTTCATATTGCATTGTCATATTTCATTGTCTTAATTTTTCATTGTACTTAAAGCTCTAATAGTGTAATATAACAAGTAGTAAACAATTCAAATAGGCCTATTTAATTTATTTTCAAATTGAGTTCAGCACAAAAGGCCTATTTAATTTATTTTCAAATTGAGTTCAGCACAGGCAGTGCATATCCTATCAATGCAGGCCCAGAAATGATGACGTCAGCAAACTACAATTTTAATAATTTGATTTGTATTTTTTTACCTTGTTTTGGATTCTCATGTATATAATTTTTTAATTCTCAGGTTGGTAGCGTAATGGGTATGCTTACTATTGCAGTCAACATTATCCTCAATGGTTTAATCAACCCTAAAATGTTCCTGGCACCCTGGAATGTTTGGTTCTCAGCAGTAATAATGCCAGTGATTGCGTTTCTCCTCGGTTACATCGCCGCGTACCTGTTACGTCAGTCACGCAAAAAATGCCGCACCATTGCCTTGGAAACAGGTTGCCAGAATGTTGCCTTGGCGTTAACCATCATTTCTATCTCTTACGCTGACAGTGATGATTTTTTCGAAATCTTGATTTTTCCGTCCTTGTTTGGCCCATTTGGTCTTATTGATTCAACTCTATGTGTACTGGTTTTCAGAATTATTGAGAAGAGGATGCAACCTGAGGGTGATGATGGCGTGGAAGCTGTTACCAATCAACCAGCAAACGATACTTCTTACAACAAGGACGTTAGCTTTAAAGCGCTAAGTCAAGAACCTTGTTAAGAAAAACGCTCCGCGACTAAAATACATAGTGTTTTATTCATAAGTAGGCCTACAAAGTAGGTTTATTAAGGTATTATGCACTATCATTTTGAATTCGTATATTGTAGTTTCTTTTTACTAAATGAAATATTTAAATGCGCATAGGCCGGCTACTCACTATAAATTCGAACCAACAACATCGTTGCAGTTTTATACTTATATTTATACTTTACTATTTTTAATTTTGAAAACAAAATATAGCTTTTATCTTTCATTTTACCTTGTGATTTTAATTTTTTTCGATGTATTTTATCAAAATCGTATGAATGCATGTGTTTTAGATTCAGATTTTTATTCATATTTGTAAGTTTATTTTCAATTTTAATAATATGCAACTTTTTGATTTTTATACTGTAATTTTGTATCACAAAACAAGACCATATGTAAACAGGTTATACTTCCTGATATACGGAAGCCCGTTAGTACCACCAGTGAATTAAAACAGATCCGTTGTGGCGGCCACCAGATAATTATGTGGCGGCCGCCACTTAACGGGTCTTAAATTTTAATTCACTGGTGGCACTAACGGGCTTCCGTACTGATATGTTACCCTGTATACATCTGTTCAATAAATAAATAAATAGGGCCTACTGTAGGGCCAGGCATAGGCCTACTCTCTATTCAACGAACAAAATAAACATAAAAAGGGTAACAGCAAACTGTTGGCTGTTGATTCATTGAAACATAGTGTGTTAAAATTGGTTTTTCTTATACAACTATAGGCCCACATTAAAAAATATTCATTTGATGACGTCACATGTTTGCTCAATAAGGTATTAGACAAGGGATACATCAGCCTGTTGGGAATAATGAGCATTCCAACGGGGGATATAGGAAATGATCAAAACCAGAATCAGGTTTATTTGTCCTTATCCAAACGAAAAATGTTAAAACCAACAAATAAAACGAGAAAATCACATTAAACGGACTATAACGGAATGAATTTACTTCCACACCCAAGGGGCATTGGCTGGGGGCCCAAAAAAGGCAAATATGTTCCGCTGGTGTAGGCCAAAACCTATAGGCATGCCTAGCATAGGCCTACTAGTAGAATGGAAAATTTGCAAGGCAGCAGTAGAATTTGATTACCAAAGAAAGTATATAAACCTGATATGCCTAGTAGTAAAACAAAATAAAAACTTTTTTTTTTCATCCCAAATGTGAATTACTATAGTAATTCGAAATATAGTTTAGGCCTATTCATTTCCTTCTTTTACGTTCCGGTGCTAATGTGGCCGTCAGTTCAATACAGGAATTAACTACAAAGTTCTTTACTGTGCATGACTATGAGCAAAAATTCATGATTCGTATGGTACTATTTTGGCGGACTGCTTATAAAACGTTTTGTGCTAGCGGATTGCGACATTTAAACGAACACTGGTATCGCAGAGGAGAAAAATGTGCAATAAACACTAGAAACGTTATCACGCTCTTATTATTACTCACTTCGATGAAAAGCTTGATTTGAAAAAAAAAAGGGGGGGGGGTGGACGAAATCGTTGGAATTATCAAATTTCATTGGCGTTTACCTCAAACTATGTCCGAGCAACTACAACAAAAAATCCTTAAACAGCATTCTTCCGTACAGTACAGAACATACGGTAGCATACAATACTGGGGAAATGTATACTCGAAGCAACAGCCTAATGTGAATTAATGGGTCTTAAAATACATCAAATGACGCCGACATCATTATTTTTTCAATTGCTTTTATAATTCTGTGTAATCATTTCAATAATACCAATAACACATGCAACAGTAATAATTAGAAAAAGAGTACAAGCATTTTTTTTGTTCTCCTTTTAATTGAACGTTTTAAACTTTATTTAATGATTTGGGTTTTTTTTTATATAGGCCTAATACTGTATAATAAAAATGAAACAATGTGTAGGCCTATTACAATAAATTACAGACGAACAAAGTATTATCCTAATTACAATAGGCCTATATCACGCTTATTTTTTCAATTCCCGAAACAAAATTAAGAACACAATTGTGCCAAAAAAGAAGGAAAAAAAAAATACACCACAAAACGCCCCTGGAAATTAAATTAACATAGACTTGCATTATACTGCATCACGGTGAAAAAAAAATAGATACTATTGTATATACAGTACAGTCAGTGAACGGAAGTTAATAAAAGGCCACCAAATAGCAAATAAAAGGGCATAATAAGGGCAAGGACAAGCGATTCAACCAATCACCGCCTGATCGTGTGTTACGTTCCATACTCAAACTCGGATACTGTACCCCGCCGATACTTGGCAAGCGGTCTGTATGTGGAGATGTACATTATTGTTGATTCATGTTAGACTATAGATTTCAGCTAGTTAAAGATGTCACAACCAACAGTAACGTATTTCTTTGAAGATGATGTTAATTATACCGTATGGACGACACTGGATCCTTCAGAAGAAGGGCCTTCTTCTAAAATACAAGCCATGAAACTTGCGAACCGGGTTATTTTGACCGCTTTGCTAGCCTTCATCATGCTAGCCATGGGATGCGTTGTTACAGTGAATGATTTTAAAGTAGCGTTAAGGAGGCCTACAGGTGTAGCTATCGGATTCGTATCCCAATTTGGAATCATGCCTCTTGTTGCATTTTCTCTGGCACATATTCTTAAAGTTGATGCAGCCTATGCTATCGGAATGTTGGTTATGGGTTGCTGTCCTGGTGGAGTAACTTCACAGTTATTTACTTTCTGGAGTAACGGTGACGTATGTTTGAGGTACAGTAATAAGCAAATGAACGAAAAGAATAAATTTAAATCTGGTCGAATTTAATCAATAATAGTACCATAGGCCTATCACTTGGATAGGCCTTCTATATCTCATTTAGAACTTTTTCCCCAACCTTTTGTTGTACGTATAACTCCATGGGTCAAGCAGCTTGTGTTCTTTAATCGTTACGTTTGTTGCCGTGTTAATGATTATATATACAGTGATTTATAATGTTATATTTCTAATTCTTGTAAATAACGCAATATAATTAAGTATAGGCCTAAATATTGAATGTTGTATCAATAATGTATAAATAGATATATAATTATGAAGAACTATAAAGACATATAAACATAGCGGAAGCAAAATTAATTGATGTAAATCATAAATCATTAAAAAAAAAAAAAAAAACAAGACTGACTAAGTATTACAATAATTGTAATTTGAAAGAAGGTATTTTTTAAATTTGTATGAGAAAAGTTTACTTGTGGGGGACAATGTTATATTGTTAGGAATATTGTTAAATAATTTGGTACCGCTGTAACGGATATTGTATTGCATTTGAGTTAATACAATGATAACATTTAGCTATTGCAGTGTTGTACTCCATCGTGATTTTAATGTTTTTTTTTGTGCAGATGTTTATTATAATAGGCCTACCTTTATACATGTTGTGTTACCAGTTTCAAAATCAAGTGTGTGTATATTTCCAATTTTATCATTAATGGCTTCACGGTTGATGGGAGCTTAACAACCTGAAGAAACATGCTTTGTTCGTCCTTTCAAATTTTGAAAGGAAGACTCGTCTGATCCTTTTGTTTACATCAATAGAACAACTTGATAATAAATACAAGGCCTCATAAAAGTTTTAATAATAGGGTGTATTCACATTGTATTCGTATCTCAGAGCGTGACTAAACAAAGTCTCAATTCTCATTCGCACCATAAACCTACTAAGTGGTTGACCCATTACATCTTCTCTTCATTACTTTCAGCACAAAACGAATGAGATTGGAAGAGTAGTGTTTATCATCTAATTCAAATTTCAATCGATTGATTGATTGATTTATTGATTGATCGATTGACCTTAAACTATGTGAAAATCAACTATGTCAGTGTGACATTAGTTTTCACAACATATTACCAGTGGTACAGTATAACGACAAGTCATGGGGGGCCCGGTAGCGAAACCGTATTGGGGCTCATCAATTTCAGTATTCGCTAACCTAAGAACATAATGAATAGGCCTACCAAGGTTAAAAAGACTGAATTAAAGGCAATGTCAGTATCTTGAACGAACATAATTATATTGTGTGACTATTGCATCCAAATGTATTTTCACAAACTCTGGGGGTCCCTTTGGACTGGTGCCTTTTGGACTTGGACCCCTTTATACTGGGGACTTTTTGACTGGAGCCCATGGAGCTTCGCCCCCGAGAGCTTACTATAGGCGTTACGCCACTGCATTACTGTACCTGGCAACTCATGCAGCTACAAAATAACATTTAAGTAAATAGATTCAGTTAAAAATGAAGCTCTACAAATTTATTGTTTTATATTGTCCTCGACTATATAAACAATATTATATTGTCTTCGACAGAACATTGCATATTTCTTGAGAAGAAAATGTATTTTAGTCATAGTCGTAATAATTCGTTATTGTCTATTCATATAAAACAGAAATGTAATTTGAACTGGCACAGTTACATGAGTCGCCAAGTGTAAACTTATCATTTAGTTAAATTATTTATATATAATAAACATTTAAAACCAGGCTCCCGAGGAAAACAAATTTCTGATATGTTGCACAACAGATTTTCTAAGACACAAAAAGTTTGACAAAAATCTCGGGAACGCTTAGATACAGATTTTTGAATATCTAAAAACTGCGGGAAAAGCGCGCACATACCCATTTTCCATCCTTTTCCCAGAAAATTACTGCGGTATTAGTAGCAGAATCGAAACATGAAACCCCACCGTTAAAAGTTAAAATAGTTTCATCTGGGTTCTGTGATGAATGGACATGGAAAAACTCTACGTCACAAACAGTACGTTTACTTACAAGAATTTTTCCTCGGTCCTACCGGTACATGCAATACACAAATGCTGTACAATAATAATACAATAATGATAATAATGTAAATATTTCTTTTAGTATCTGCATGACGACGATATCGACACTAGCGGCTATAGGTATGATGCCACTGTGTTTATGGATTTACAGCAGAAGTTGGACGGATGAATCCGCCGTCATCCCCTATACCAGTATCATCACCTCCCTGGCTCTCATCCTAGTTCCTGTTGTTATTGGAATGCTTATCCGTCATTACAAAGAACGGTGGACAAAAATCATTACCCTGGTGAGTTTTTGAAAGACGTTTAATGGGATGCCGTTGTATACGGCCTTCCCTTTTAAAAGGCACTGTACAATTTTGTTTGTATTATGATTATATTTATTAGGCCTAGTTGTTGTTTATATTTCGTCATCGAGAGTGCAATAATCGTAGTTTTCAAATCGAATAGAGACTGAAATTTATTAACCGGAGACTATACAATAGCTGTCTGATGTTTTACCATTCACCCATCCATCTATTCCATCTTTCTTTTTTAGCTAATTTAGGCTGTATATTACAAATACCAGTGATTTTTCCCATAGTTGTGATATTATATGGTACCCACATAAGGTCAAATCACATAATTGTCCCAGAAAATGTGTACGTCATTGTTTCGTATTGCATTTCATTGTCATAATGTTTCATTGTAGTAAACAATTCAAATATTTAATTTGTTTTCAAATTGAGTTCAGCACAGGCAGTGCCTATCCTATTAATGCGGGCCCAGAAATGATGACGTCAGCAAACTACAATTTTAATAATTTGATTTGTATTTTTTTACCTTGTTTTGGATTCTCATGTGTATATATTTTTTTTCTCAGGTTGGTAGCATAATGGGTATGCTTACTATTGCAGTCAACATTATCCTCAATGGTTTAATCAACCCTAAAATGTTCCTGGCACCCTGGAATGTTTGGTTCTCAGCAGTAATAATGCCAGTGATTGCGTTTCTCCTCGGTTACATTGCTGCGTACCTGTTACGTCAGTCACGCAAAAAATGCCGCACCATTGCCTTGGAAACCGGTTGCCAGAATGTAGCCTTGGCGTTAACCATCATTGCTATCTCTTACGCTGACAGTGATGATTTTTTCGAAATCTTGATTTTTCCGTCCTTGTTTGGCCCATTTGTTCTTATTGATTCGACTATATGTGTACTGGTTTTCAGAATTATCGAGAAGAGGATGCAACCTGAGGGTGATGATGGCGCGGAAGCTGTTACCAATCAACCAGCAAACGATACTTCTTACAACAAGGACGTTAGCTTTAAAGCGTTAAGTCAAGAACCTTGTTAAGAAAAATCTCCGCGACTAAAATACATAGTGTTTTAATAATAAGTAGGGTACCCATTTTGAAACAAACTAACATAAATTACACACATACCGATGTGTGATGAGCTGAACATAAATAAAGCCAATTCGTAATTTGAACTGTGCATGCCCGTGTCAAGGTCAATATATGTATCGAAATTACGGAAGTGGCCTTTTGGGTTTTAAAAAGGTAGATTTCTTTCTATATTCGTTGCACATTTTTACCCATTATTTTGACAATTCTAATTAAAGAATATTTAGTAGGAAATTATCTATTAGAAAGTGACTGAAAAACCGTTAAAAACTACACATTATGGAACCAGAAAAATTCTTTAAGAATAAATTATTTTTTTTTAGTGAAAATTGATGATTTAAATGTTGTTATTTAAAAATATAATCATTCTTTATGGTGAAATACAAACCAGAACAATGAAAGCTCCTACTATTTCAAAGACCCATCGAAGCTGCTATCAAAAAGACAAATGACTATCCTTTGTGCTCAAACACTGACGCACAAACTAGGTTAGAGATCGACCAGGGTGCCACTGATTACCCCCACTAAGGGCCATAATTCAAAAACATATGCCCATCCTATAGACCACATGTATATGAACATTTCAGGTCTATTTTTGCGGTAACACATTTCATAGCTTATCGCAGACTACCAAACATTCGTGATATATTAGTAAGATCTAAATTCAAGAGGCAAGTTAACTCCTGCGACAAAATAAGTAATGAGTACCAGAATTTATCATTTTAAGCATAATACGGGGCTCTGCTTGCAGTTTGCATACTTCTAGGACAGAATAACAAACAATAAATGTGCCATTAGTAGGCCGATTCTTGTGTTTACATTTAATACTAAAATGCATTTCCGGACATCTGCAAACAAATTGATTGCTCCTCGTTACTCGAGCCAAAGTATTAATAACTAGAGCACGCTCGGAGGTTGTATACCTCCACCCACTTCATAATTCTCCCATGAGAGTCATGTTTTGTCTTCCATAAAAAGACAAACCTTGTTTTGTCTTTTACAAATACATGGTTTGTATTTCGAAAAAAACAACAAACCATGGCTTGTGTTGTGCCTGTTGTTTAATGGATATGCTACGTAGATAGATTAAGTTCGCTGATTGACATATCCTTGGCGCTCGTGCCTAAAGAAATGAAATGAAATGAAAATTGTCTTTTACAAACCATTGTTTGTCATTTACAGACCAAGGTTTGTCTTTTACAAACCAGGGTTTGTCTTTTACAAAAAAAAGGTTTGTCCTTCACAAACCATGGTTTTTAGGACAGAATGGGTAGTGTGTCAAACAAACCATGGTTTATCTTGTAATCAAAAACAAAACAAGGTTGTTTGTTACAAACCATTTGCAACCATTTTACAAACCAAGGTCTTTTAAAAACCATGGTTTGTCTTTTAAAACCAAGGTTTGTCTTTTACAAACCAAGGTTTGTCTTTTACAAACCAAGTTTTGTCTTTTAAAAACCAAGGTTTGTATTTTACAAACCTTGGTTTGTAGGACAGTGTCCCGGTAGTACAAATACCGTTTATTGCATTGGAAATTTTCTTGTATGTAATTAGAATCAAATTGTCTTGTATTTAGAATGGAGGAATTATTTAATGTCTTGTAGGCCTACGTTTAAATATTGCATACCAAGTTTAGCTTATCCGAACTGTATTAGTACTACACTGTATTACAATTTGTTTTGAATTCCATTACAATTCGTTATGAATCGGCACCAAAATTTTATAATTTCTTTCTGGGAACATTTCTGGGACGTTAGTACTTTAAATGACACCCACATCAACATCCAAATCCGGATTGTCACCAAACTTTAAACATTTTTTCCTGTGAACAGGACAAACTATTCTGAACATCATCCGATGGAGCTAGCTCGGACGTTTTGCCTATCGTTTTGTCTATTACTATCCTGCATCAGGGTCGTCAGATCTTCGGCGAGGCATCCAGAATCTCTGCATAGTTGGTCTGTGTAGGTAGTTAGTTGCTGGGCGTCCGACACGGGTGTAGCAATGGCGAGGTGTCCAGAGTAGTAGGTCACTTGCAAGGTATTGCTTTGCTCACCAACAGTGCAGGGGCGGATTTGGGGGTGGGGGGGCGGCCCGGCCCCCCCCCCCATTTTGGGAGGTAAAAAAAAGAAAAAGAAAAAAATGATAGTCCACAACACCTCAAATGTTATTTTCGGGCGTCTAGAGCACAACAATTTCGCGGGGGCATTGTCTCGATCGGCCCAAATTTCGCCCCCCACCCCTTTTTTTTGGACATCTCTGGATCCGCCCCTGCAGTGTTTAACAAAACGCATTCTGTGAAATATTTGAATATATTCAACGGCTTTGATTGAATCGCCTGTAGAAGTTTGTATGGTGCATTGATGGTTGAAACTTATGTGTTCTGTTTGGCGGCGTTGACGTATAGCCCAACATCTTTGGTGGCATTGTCAAGTGTGTTTGAAATGGTATCAGCAATGATAGTTTCTGATAAGGTGAAGCCCAGGTCGGAATGCTTATCAAGAGACATTTTCAGTATATAATCAAGAGGGATGACAAAGGGAAAAGGTGTAAGTATGTCACCCTGTAAGACTCCGGCATAGACATCAAAGTAACAGGTATCCCCACCGGAATCCCCGTCAGGGTATAAGCATCATTATAGCAGCTACTGCCTCTGTGGGGATGCCATATGCTAGAAGTATCTTTCCATTTACCACGGTGAACAGAATCAAAGGCTTTTGAGAAATCTACAAAAAGGAGAGAGGTCTGTAGGTTCTTAGCAGTGAGTTGTAGATTTTCGCTGCTATGGAAGTAGTGTAATTCCTCTCTAGTTTTTGGCCAGGCTCAGATCTCCCTTCTTTAAAAATAGAAGTATGCAACCTTCAGTCTATTTTTCTATTTCTTCTCTGTTATATACGGCCTTAGAGGTCAAGCAGAATGTCATTATAAGCCTGAGTTTTTCAAACCTCGGAGCATATGGAAACGTTTTTGCCACTTTTTATCATTTGCTAGTCCAGCTATCACGAGAGCAGCCAACTGAGGTCAAATCAACCCCGCTGTACAAGCAGTTTGGATCGACCGTTTAAAAACATTGGGTTTGTTTCATTTTCATTATGGGGTTAAATACTAACAAAAGTTTGCACAATCAATATTCTTCTGTTAAAACTTGTATTTGAACACATATGTAACAGTACACATAATACAATGTAAAGTGAACAAATGCTGAGATCTCTCTTCCCCTAGTCCACACTTTTGTGTTGGCGGGATTAGCTTAGCCCTACGGTACACCCTTACGGAAATTTTCTAACGGTCCAGACTATAAATTGCATTTTTTGCAGAAATATATAGCCCAATTGCAGCAAGTATCTTGTCTTGGGACATTTGTTTTTTTAATAAAGGTAATAAAAGCACACAAAAAATCCAACTGATAACTAAATTAGGCCAAATTACATGAAGAAAGAAGTCAAACACTGCGAACACAAGTCAAGCAAACAGAAGTATGACGTCATACCAGTGAATCGGACTATCACGCTTTAGAGATTTTTTGACCCCATGAGAGGCAATCGTGAATTGGATGGATTTTATATTTTCTTATTTTCCGATAAAACTACCCAACCAACCATACTAAGTTTTATATCAGCTTGGGCCAATTCGAACAAACAAATAGTCTGTGAGTGAGGGAGTAAGAAACGAGCTCGGAACAGCCAAAAACCTCAAATTTCTTGAAATTCCCTATAGCTGTTATAAATCGGCGTATTCCAACAAAACTGTAGGGATTTTTTAAATTTTTTCTTCACAAATTGGTAAATTAATATTTTTACAACATAATCCGCTTGGGCCATTACAAGAAAATCATAGATTTTGTACCAAAAACGTACTTTTGTGAAAAAAATCCAGTTTTCTCCAATGGTTAAGGCGACCTTGGAAAGCAAATGATACAACAATTTTATATGAATATTATCCAATCCGGCTGCCTTTTTGTTTTTGATTTTATTTAACACCTCAGTGAATTCGGAGTTCGAGAAGTTTAATAACAATTGGAAATAGTCAATTATTTGTTCAACTTCGGTGTCGTGGATACATTGGGAGCATTTCCAAGAAGATTTTGAAAGGGTCTTGCAACTTATCCAAACTTCCCTTCTGACTACAGTATTTGATGATTTTCTGACACTAATTTCATTAACAGTTTTCCCGGCGAGGGTGGATTCTAGAGAATTTAATTCACATCCATTAATCTGTATTTGAGATATTTATGTCTACTGGGACGTTAACATTTTAAATGACGCCCCAATGCATACTCGAATCTGGCTCGTCACGAAAATCTAATAATGTCTTCCTCCGTTAACTCTTCCAGAACTCTTTCCTACAGATCAGTAAATCAGTTTTTGAGAGGGGTACTTTTCTTATTGGTCCCCACATCCACACCCCAATCCGGATCGTCACTAAAATGAAATGGAACCTTCCATTCAATGTCAGAAAATCATCTGTAAATATCTAAAGTTTGTAGACCTAAACATGTAGGTGGCGCCTGCTACCAAACATACAAAGATAATCCGATGAAAATTTAACCTCATTGTGGAGGTAAATATAAAATACAAAACGCCACCTATACCATAAGAGTAGCCACGAATCGTATACTCTCTCTTCTTGGTGTCACAGTTTTGTCTCTGTGAATGAATATATAAAAGGCTTTAATTTAATTTATGATAGCCCTAATTTTTACTTGTCATTAATAGTATATACAAATTTCTTGGTTTATAACTAATACTTGATATGCTTGAATTATAGTATGTTGGCTACAATCCACCGTGCACCAGAAGTGACATCAGCTTTCGGTGAGAATATAACTTCTACACTATCATCTTGACAAGACCAGATTTATTGACAGTATATTCTTTAATGGCAGAAAGGTTGAAATTAGCAATCAGACATGTTTATCAATTCTGTTAGCTTTTATTACGTTAGCAGTTGGAGCCGTGTTTACTATGAACGACTTTAAAGTGACACCAAAAAAACCCCTATCGGATCCGTTCTTTGCATTTGCCTTGTCACATATTCTTGAAGTTGATGCATGCACATGATATAAGGATGCTTGTTATTGGTTGCAGTTCAGGTGACGTAACCTCACAGATATAATATATGTTATAATGTATATTATACTTTCTGGAGTAATGGTGATATTTGTTTAAGGTACGTTAAAGCCAGGCTACGGAGATATGTTGTTGAAATGAATGCCCTTTCTCTCAACGTCAATAG